ATCATCTTAGCCTTATAATGAAATTCGTCTTCTAGGTTCGGGTCCTATTCAATGCTAACAACCAATCAATAAAATCAAAATCATCCAATATAAACAACCTTACCTACCGGCTACCCAGCTGCATACGTATTGTAACATTTGTGTGTAACATACCAATGTTACCACACACAAAAAAATAAACATTTATTAAATTAAAAAAATCAATTCACAAGAAAAGTAAAAAGCTAAAAATATACGTAGATAGCAAACAAAAAAATAATTACTGTGAACTACACAGTACGTACGTAACGAATGTATGTAGATACAATAAATAAAGGATCGCACCTGTGGCTTTGGCAAACAAATACTTATTAGAAGTAGATCAGTGTAGAGGTACATGAACAGTATGTATAAATATAATGTACACATCAAGCTATGCATAACCAGAATAAATTGACCGTTGAACGTGCGCAAAGAGCATACGAAGCGAAACCACGATAGACTGGTTGCTTATAGCTTGGTGAGTATGTACTAAGAACAGTCATCCACAGTCAGTGCCTGAACAGTTGTGTCAACAGTGGCGGCGCTGTCTCAAGCAGTGTTTGTTACAAGCTCCTACGTACATTAGGAGCTAGAATATGTGATGGTTTAATTATATTAGTAGGAATAATTAGAGGTAATGTATAAACTACGTGTTCTAAAGAGTAACAGCACGACAGACGCCGCGTCGCGGGTCGCGGAATACTGCTCATGAATTTGAACCCCTAGTATAGCTTGAAACTAGTCGAGGTTCTCGTCAAATAATTACGTGAGTAAGCCGAAAAACGTAATAATTAATTTAGTATGTCTCACAAAAGTTATAATATTTATTAAGAAACAAACGGCAACCTCCTTTTTTCTTAAAGTCAGTTAATTAATGTCTTAAAACCTTTTCCGAAGTGTGTAACAAACTGTTAGAATATGCAGTTTTGGAACGCAACCGTTTTAGTTCGTTTTTCTGTCACTGGTGTCGCTCTCTCTCTCTCTCTCTTTGAATCTCTCATGTAAACGGTCGTACGAAATAAATTACTAAAGTATTATGTGTAAATTTTTCTTTTATTACTACATCCACGCTAAAATCCTACACAAACAATTATCTGAAAATCGCATCAAAATCGGTTCAGCCAATCCTAAGATAATAGTATAAATAGTAAAAATAATATCAAACAGAAAACCTCCTTCTTTTTTTGAAGTTGGTTAAAAAGTATTTAATGCGACCTGTTTCTTTTTGGTGGACCAAATATAGTTATCAACGAAAATACTGAAACCCAGAGACCACCTGACCAACCCTTTGGTTAGAGTAAAGTAGATTTTAAGTTAGTCTATAAAGATGGTAGACTACACGTTACAAGTTAATTTTCTTGCTAGCTCCAATTCTATTTCAAACAAATAGCCTTGATTGTGACTACTCGGTGCGATGCACGTACCTACCTTACGAGTATAGTCGAATCTTGCAATAATCGCGTCGAGATCACGTTATTGCATATTAATTTGTCCACATGTTATGAGATCGTAACTTTTAAGCACCGGCAATTTCACTAGTCCACTGATTTATTGCACTGCCCACCTTGAGAGCACACGTGTACATTCAACTCGTAAAAAATGCGTAAATATTATTATATAAATGACGCAACTTTTTTAAACTGCATGCGTTCGGGAAATTATATCATAATACAGCTTGCTACAACTGTAACGCTTGTGTAAGAACACATGGAAAAAAGACAGACATACTGCATTATATTTATTGATAGTATATATTAGACATAATGTAAAGGTATTATTGGAAGCAAGTATAACAGCTCACACAAAGGACCCACTTAGTTTTTATATTTGTTACCGCACAGGAGGTCACCGACAGGAAAAAATCCTAGTGTAGGCAACGGTTTAAAAAAAAGTCATATCTTCGTGATGCCTAGCTACTGGGCTTCTCCCTGTTGTCCTCCTTTTGCGCCTTTAGGCTTAATTCATTCTGTCTCCTGCAGTAATTCACCGAGGGAAGTGAAAACTATCATTTTTTTTCTAAACCCAGTAATACTTTGCTCGACTCGGGAATATTATCCGAGACCCCTTGCCCGGCAGTCGCACTTGACCGACCGGCCAACCAGGCGGTCCTCCCAATCACTTGCATAAAATTATACACAGTAAGAAACTTTGTATAGATATCGTTTACTAAGTTGTACATAATAATAGGGTGGCCTCTAAGGTCACACACAATAATGAACTGACTCATAGGTACCCGCCACTGTAACCTTATCAGTACAATATCACAAATCTACATAAATATTTCGCTCATTCATATAAAATTTAATTGTTATTAAACTCTTGACAACAATGATGAATAATAACAAAAAATATTTTGTTTCGATCACAAGATGTGACGTCACAAAATGGTCCCGATTAATAAAACAATGATAAATATATAGAGCAGTCATTGCCCCTGTTTTTATTTTTGCAATTTGAGGTCAATAGGTTGTCCTTTAGTGCCGCTGGTCAAGTTGTTAAGTATCAGTTTGTGCTAGCAATCAGTGGCCGGGGCGCGATCCCGTGACTTTATGACCCTGATAACACGCGCGTACTTACTCTATCACCAGTTACATCAAAATATAAATAAACACCTTACTTAACGAATTCATTCAATTTTATGCCGTATTTTTATAAAAAGTATGCTGCGCGACGACACCGCCACCGCGTACGCTGCTCTCGAGGAAGAGTCCCTCTATGCCTCGAAATTAGTAGAGCTTTTCTAAGTATATTTGCGTGAGTATACCGTTATTTTTAATTAATTCAATTTTATGCTATTTAAAAAAATATATTCTTAGATATACCATCATGCCTTTTATCCCCAAAGGGGTAGGCAGAGGTGCACATTATGGCATTTAATGCCACTGTATATGTAACACCCACTTTTCACTATTTTTGTTATGAGTCCCATGTAATAGGGGGTGAGCCTATTGCCATATACCGGGCACAATTGAAATACAAATGATAGATAATTTTTTTACTTATTTTGAAGAAATACAGAAAACTGTGCTCCTGAAAATGCATTTTAAATGAATGTTTATTGTTCATGGCTAGGGCGGGATCAAGATCATTATCTTGTCAGTATAATATAAAATCATGTTCAGTAAATATACCGCCGTAATGCAACCTTCTGCGAATGGTTACAATTTAGTAATTTATGCAAGTAGTGATGCGATAATGTGGAGGTATCAGCCGCAGTATGCATAGACTGCGCGCATCGTGGCAAACTGCACAGTCATAGTGCATGTTAATGCAAGCACTGGTGCGATGAATATGCGGAACTACAATAATACTATGTGCGACATTGTTGTATTAAAAAAACCGTTCCTAAACCAATTCTAACCACGAAATGAGTTTTCACAGCTAACGTTTAAGAGTTGTAAAGAAATCTCTTTGTAGTACACCGTGTCACTAATCGTAGTATCTTGTGTTTTGGCCGAGTAACATTGAGGACACTATTCTGTACGAGTACGTGCCCATTGTCAGTACACACACGTAACGACACCACACATGTGGCCAGGAGTAAGACATACTGCTGAAACACGTTTTATACGCATCTATAGTAACACAATAACAAAAAAAGAGAAATGTCCTTATTGTCTATTGTTGCACTATTCCTTTTTTAAGCCAAAGAGTTCTTTGACTTTCTTTGACCAAGTAATTGTGGATGATCAATGAGAACTACATGATCTTAAACGAACCAAATTAAAATTAACAGTTACAGATAAACAATTAGCAGCTGCTTCAACTCCTTAGATGAGTTTCTAACAATGAAATTTTCTGAAAAAATTATCTGTTACCCTAGATGTAAGACATTTTTAAAAATAAGTTCGTTATACATTTAACTTTACAATTATCATCTGTAATTACCATACTTCATGCAAATAAACGTTCTTATTCTTAATCTAAATGTAATGAATGTAAAATGTTAAATGTAATGGTACATGGTGAACTTGATTCCAAGTGGCATATTCTACCAGTAACCCTCAGAGTTTTAAATAATAATTGCAATAATACACAATTATGTACCTATTTTAGAATAAAACTGAAACCGCACACCACATAAAAAAAAATGTAATGAAATACGTCGTTATTAGAACCACCTAATATTATAGTAAGGCGAACATACGTTTGTTCATTACCTCCATACGCTTTATCTATTCAAACAATCTTCAAATTTTGCATACCTACGTAGAATAAAGAATCCAGAGGACATACAGATTGGCAAAAAATTCTAGTAAAATATTATAAATAAGATTTTTACAAAATACATTATGGAAGACAATAATATATAAGTCCAGCTCGTGTAGATGTCAGTAATGAGTTAAAGATATGCGTCGCCACGCCAGCGCCGCGTGCACTTGAAATATTGGAGAATAATATTATGATCGTTTGTTTATTACTTATTGCTGCAGTTCATTACAATCTATGTCTTGTTATTCATTAAATAGTTAATTGAATATAAGATCACTCTACAATCCAGTGAATGTAATCTCTGGGTAAAAATCTATTTTAATATACAACAACGTTTACGTTTATTATCGGGTCAATCATAGGAGACTCTTGGAAACAACGCCGGGAAGGAACACGTTCAGGAAAGAATGGAGTAAAAAAAGAAGACAAAATAGAGTTTTAGACAAATGAAGAAATAATTTGGTTACTTATAAACTTCTAATCTTCAGGCTATCGATTTCTATGTGTAACGTAATGATTGGTATTCCTGACAATATATGATATTGTCTGCCAAGTGCCAGGAATGCCTTTATTTTATAACGTGGCAATAATTTCTGAACCCCACACACACCCCCCTGAAGTTTAGAAAATATAGCTGTTCGTCCGAAAATTAACTAAGTATGGGCGGGATTTCTATAAACTGTCCAATTGAAAGTACCTGCTTAGTACTACAAACATATTAAGCACATCGCGATACTAAAACGATAACTTAATCATTAATTACTTACCCAAAAAATATCAATTGAACTTCATAATCACTGCACTTATAGATAACAATATATTTCCATGAAATTCAGGCTTCGTATGAGAGCAGCACTGGTTTGTGTACGGTGTACGTGTGTGTGCGTGCGACGTTGCGTATGCGGGCGGCGCGCGCGCCTCGCTCCGCTGTAAGACGCGTCTGCCGCGTGCGCGTGCGCACCGCGCTGGCTCTACGCAACCAGTACTAACGCACCGTATTATTGTGATATTATAATGTTTATTTACGATACGAAAACAAATACAATTATAAATATTTGGTATGGAAACCACACTCCTTGCAATATTGTGCCCATTAGCTTCGAAACGTGCTATACACTCCATTATGCATATTTAAACCGTTTGTCTGTATTTATATGTGTTTTCCTATTAAAACCCCCGTTATTTTGATACTACTGTTTTTAATGCTACGGACAAACATTATTCACTTTTTCAAATAAATCTAGTGAGTCTTGATTCTGAACTTAATTACAGATCGTTCTTAATTCAATATAGCAATGTGTTAGAAATGTGACATATACACTTTAACGCTGTCAGGCGTCTGTCGCGTTGCGTATAGAAAATCATACCGTGGCAAATGGCCACATAATATACTTATTTACATCAGATTAAATAATGAACTTGAACTTCACTTAGAACTAAGTACTTAGTAAGCAGTAGATGTTAAGTAAACCAACTAGCATTGCCAATCAAACTAAACGTACAAAGTTACATGTTTATTGTACAAACAGAGTTCGACAAATGTGATAACAAATAGGTTATTGTTTGTTAGAATATCAATATTCGTACAGACTTCTGTAATGAGACTCGCAAATACTTGCTAACTTAATCATTATACATACATAGGGTTGCCTAGCTCGGTAGTCTAGTGTGATTCCTGAATCGGTCAAAGCATTAAGTAATAACACGGAGCCAGTGTATGGCAGTAGACACTCCGACTACTTCGTGAGAAGTGAGTGTTTCGGAGTCTATGTACTTGTACACATTTTCAGATATTAAAAGGCTTGGGTATTAATTACTCGTATAGTTCTGTTGTTTAGAAGTGCCCAGGTTGTTCGCCTGCTCCAGCGTGTCTGGCAGCTTGGTGCCGAGGGTCTCTGGAGTCAGCAGCACAAGGAACCCTGACGTGAACGCCAGCACCGCGAACATAATGAACGGCAGGTTATAAAACGTTGCCGCACCCTGTAAATATAATAATTTTACTTTCTCAGTAAACAGAGTACTAAATTGATTACTTCCAACTGTACGGGTTAAACTATTACTCTGCAAATATGTATAAAACTTTGTGAGTATATTGAAAAAATAGTCTCAAAAAACACAAAATATCTAGACCCGAAATCGCAACTGTAATTTATACTAATAATCTTTTTAAGCGGAAATGTAACCGGCGCGGCGTGCGTGGTGACAAAAACTTATCTTTATTACGTTTCAAATGTTAAGGACATTATCTTATACAGTGATGTAATATAATACTATCAGAATGTTATAAAACAATAACAAATGCATACATAAGTTCATATTACATATGTCGTCCTTGTTTCCAGAAGGAAATAAATTATGTCATATTCATCTTACAGCCATATAGTTATTATCTAATTAAGATTCAGTGCCGTCCCCAAACAAGTTGTTAAACACTTACAATAGCTGGTGTGAGCGGTGCCGTGATGGACCCTATCCTGCCCACCATGGAGGAGAACGCGAACAAGTTGTGGCGACACTCCGTGGGGTACAACTCCGCCGTGTACATGTACAGTGACGTCACCACCGCGGAGATACTGCTCTTGCCGATAAGGTACACGGTCAGTGATAGCCCGAACATGTCTGTAATGATAGACGCAGTGTGAGTAGCGGCAATAAAGGGTTGTATTGTGTAAAGTAGTAACTATATATATGGCACTCACCACTAGGCATTAGAATATACGCCACTTGACACCCAGCACACAGCCAGAAGCCCGCTATGAGCACCGGCTTCCTCCCGACGATGGGTAGCAACAGCACGGCTATCCAGAACCCTGGGATCTCAGCCGCTGATACCGCCATGTAGTTGACGTACACGTTACCAGACATGTTGACTGCGTTGATGGACAGCCCGTAGTAGATGAGCGTCATACTGATCCACCACAGCGGAGACACGAAGCATCGGAACAACACCCGCTTGTGCTGGAACACCTTCACCACCAGCCAGGGCTCGCGGACATTCTGCGCCTTCCTTTCAGCCTCACGCTGCTTCTCTAACTCAGCAGTATCCCTCAACGCCTGCAACGACTTCTCCGACAATTGTTTTTTGTTTACCCTTGCAACCTCTTTGAGCAGAGCCTCTGACTCTTCATATCTACTCTTGCTCATGTACCAACGTACAGACTCTGGCACGATCCAGAAGTATGCGATAGTGAACAGTTGTGGTATATATAGCGCCAGAGTAAGCGGTCTCCACGCAGGTACGGCCCAAGCAATGAGCCCCATGATCACCTGCCCCACAGCAAAGAATGTATTTAGAATTGCTCCAGCGATGACTCGATATTTCGGACCTACGAGCTCCAGAACTGTGAACAAAGTATTGCTATTTGTACTTATTAGATCTGAATGATGCCGGTGCGGCGGGGAAATTATGTACATAGCACTTACCCAAAATATAAATACATGAGAAGACCCCGGCTCCGAAAGTCGCTTCCACAAATTCTGAGATCATGAAGCCCATGTATGTGTTGGCCCAGTACCTGGTGACTCCAATCCAGCCGGTGTTGAAGGCATTGATAGTAAGTGCAATGCGTCGCCCCCAGCGGTCGGAGATGTAGCCGGTGATAGGGAGCGCCGTTAGCGTACCAAACGTACGCACGAACCCGATCAATGAGCGACGCCATTCGTCGCATCCTAAGTCGTACTGTACCCAAACAAGGATAATGAAATTAATACACAACTAACCCTTCACTGGTATTCAATAAATTAATAAGCAGTTTTTATTTCACAAATAGCTTTCAAAAGTTCAATCAATAATAAAAATTTACAGTACTACGCCATACCCTGCTACGCCGTAGCAAGTGCTACGAAATTCCTTATGACGTCTTCACAATATTTAAGAAAGTTTTCTAACGGTGTACTTGGTTCTTTGGTTTATTATATTAATCACATAATATTGAAATACTCACGTCGTACACAACACTCAACTGGTTCTGGTACACATATTGGTCGCAGGGCAACAGCCTGTCCCTGTCGAACAGCTCAGCCGGACAGCTGTCGGCCCGCGGCAGGACGGTCGCGTTGCCGAACCGTTGGCAGTTGTCAAACGAGTCCTCAGTTGTAGGCACAGCCTTACTGAGCCACGGTGGAGAGAACTCTGGCTGCTCACCATCGCACTCCGGGATCAAACATCTGTTAAATGGACAAGTCAAGTTTTTGTTTACATTTTTCACACATTACATTCTCACATGTCAGAATATTTAAACCAATCTATTTCAGTTAAGTTCACGTAATGTATAGAAGCACGACTAAACACAAACATCCGTTTTACCAAACTATACATAATTATATACTTCTTGTATTTTTAATTCACTGTCTACAATGTATAGTATATGTCTTTACAATGTAACACAGCGTTATTATGACTTACCTGGTTTCGATTCTCGCCGTAGTGAACACGTACTCCGCATGGAAGGCTGCGAAGATGACCACGATGACAGTGAGCAGCAGTGTCCGTAGCTGGAACTTCCCGAACTGGCCAATCTCCTCCACCAGAATACTGTCCAGGTCTACGAAACCTTTCTCCTCCCGAGCCGCCATCGTGAGCTACTGCCGCGATACACCGAGTAATCTCACACGCCTGATAATATTTATATTATCATTACTTTTATAAGCTGTTTAGTTTACTTCGCGATATGTCGACACCTAAAACTACTTATCTTATATTTAATTCAAAACGGCATGTGCAGTCATTGAGCAGGGTAGTGATTACGACATCCAACTCGAACTTGAAAGTACAGCTCATGTAATATTATGTGACACCACGCACTGTCTACTTCACGTCGAACGAATACATCACATTCGCAATTTAAGGGTGTTCAATAAGCCGTATGCACGCACACGTAATGTAGCTGTTCCTACATGTATTTTGATTCATTGACTTCACAAGATTGTTACTTTAGCAATACATAGTCCACTATACACACCGCACACACTAACACAAGAGTACTTGCGAAGTTGATCTTAACTCTGACAACTGACAACAAACTGAGATATGTATGTACTCCGATAATGTTGCAATTTCCTCTTAAGAGGCTCGTGAGGATTGTATTTTGACATTTCTGTTATCTTTTTATTTCATATAATATGGAGATTTTAGTAAGCCGGGGCTATAATGTTACAATTTTACTCATTTGTCCGTGGGTGGTGTTGATTGCTCACCATCAGGGTGTCAATTTCTTCTTTTGCCGCCCAAACCCAAGAAGTGGCTGGCCTGGTTGGTTGGTTGGTAGCTCTCAATTCCAATTACAATAGATATTTTTTTATATAAAAACACAACATTTTTAAAAATCTCCAGCTTTGTTTATCTCGCGTGTGTCTGGAATATGTCCTTGGTTTAAGTCATCTTAATCTTACGTTCAAGGTTCGCACAATCGCACCGCTATCAGATACCATGCACACGTGCATGCGTGCACACGTGCACATCGTATCTTATTTTGCGTTACATCATAGTCATATTTGGGAGATAAGAGATATAGGGATGTTGACCAGATCAAGCCCACTACCATTATATCATGTTTACCAGGAATATATAGGTCTGTTTTTCTGTCTACTTATAATATATATACTAGCTTCCCGTCTGAGGTTTCACCCCTGTGGATTTCTTTTCGAGGAGGTCCTGGTCCTATAAAAATATGCATACAATATTTGTCTTATTACCCCTAAAATCGCTAAGCTAAACTATCCAATACTAAAATCATTTTCAAAGTGGTACACTAGTTGCAGAGGCTTTTCATTACAAATGAACAAATAACAAATCTCTTATTTTGCAATATTATATAGAGGATACGTATACGTATAGGTAAGTATACGTGTCAGTTTTATTGCTATTTATTTATTCATTAGGTAAATCCGGCTAGTATCAATATACTGAAATGCAATAATGTTAATATGCAAATAGGCTTTTGTCGATAATCTTCATACTAATCTTATCAATCGAGTCTTAAACTGGCTTAAATGTAAATTCATTTGAAATTATGTTAATCAGTTGTTTAGGTATCGTTTCCCCCATTATTGGCAAAGATTGCATTTTATTGAATTTTCAAAAAAATAAGCGTCATAGTGACAATGAGGAAATAGAAATTAGAAACCATACAAAATGAAATGTATAAACATTTTAATGTATTATTGTAATAGTACTGAGATTAGTTTTTAATTTTCTGGTCAGGTTGTCCGATTCTGTCTGCCTGTTCGAAAGTGTCTGGTAGAGTAGTGCCGAGGGTCTCCGGCGTGAGGAAGATCAGAGCGCCAGACACCAGCGCCAGGGAACCGAACATCACGAATGGCAGCTCCGCGAACCATTGCGCACCCTGCACGAGAGATGAAAACACTAAATTAACTAAAAATCGCAGGTTACTCACGTGAATATGTACCCCGCGATTTTTAGTTAATTTAGTATACGATAGTTAATATAAAAACCGATGAAAACACTATTACACAGGCTATAGCCTGTACAAATGTTGCACTCTTTACTAATATAAGCACGATAAAAGTAAATCTTACAAACGCAGGTGTGAGTGGCGCCAGCATGGAACCAATCCGACCAATCATGGAGGAGAATGCGAACAAGGTGTGTCGGTACTTGGTGGGGTACAGCTCCGCCGTGTACACGTACACAGAGGTCGCCACCATCGCGATAGCGAACTTAGCGATCAAGTACACCAGCAGGGCGGCTACATACATTCCTGAAATGTTTATTAAACTATTGTCATCAGTCTAAATCTTAATCGTGAAAATGAAAACCAAAACTAACCTTGTGGTATGAAAATATAGGCAAGTTGACATACAGAACACAACCAGAAGGCACCAGTAAGCACTGGCTTCCTTCCAATTGTTCCCATCAAATAGTATGCAGTCCAAAAGCCAGGTATCTCTACCGCGGCTACCGCAATAAAGTTCAAGTACTTGTTGCCAGACATGTTCACCGCGTTCAGCGACAGTCCGTAGTATATGAAGGTGGTGGTGATCCACCACACCGGCGACACCATACACCGCACTAGTATCGGCTTGTGTCGGAACACCTGCACTACGAGCCATGGCTCGCCACTACTTTCTTCCACCTTCAGATCGCTCTGTAGCTTCTCCTCCGCAGTATGACGCAACGCTTCCAGTGACTTGTCAGACAGTTGCCTTCTGTTCACTTTGGCCACCTTTTTCAACAGAGCTTCTGACTTATCAAAGCGACCCTTGCTCATGTACCACCTCACAGATTCGCTGATAATCCAGTAGTAAATGATGGTGAGGAGCTGAGGAGTGTAGATCACCAGTGTAAGGTTCCTCCAGTTGGGCACGGCCCATGCGAGCATCCCGAGTGTCACCTGGCCCAGTGCGAAGCACGTCTTAAGAGCTGCGCCCACCGCGACACGATAATCGGGGCCCACCAACTCCGTCACTGTAAACATGGGCCATAAATACACTCTCTTATAGATGTAACTAGCTACCTATATTTATTTTCAATTTTTAATTATATAAATACTTACATAAAATGTAAATACTTGAATACAAGCCGCATCCAAAAGTGGCCTCAGCAAACTGTGACAGTACGAAAGCGAGGTAAGTGTCGGCCCAGTACCGTGTGAGGCCGAGCCAGGCCGTGTTGAAGGCATTAATGGTTAGAGCCACACGCCGCCCCCACCGGTCTGAGATGTAGCCGGTGATGGGCAGTGCTGTCAGCGTGCCGAACGTGGTCACCGTGCCGATCAACGAACGTCGCCACTCGTCACACGCCAATCCATACTGATATTGAAAAAAAAACATGAATTACACAAATTATTGTTACCAAGCCACTTAAGTATTGTTATAGTGTCACCGTCTCACATCGAATACTACGGAGTTTGTGTTTTCGTACACAAAGGTGTCACAGGGTAGCCGCGTCTCTTGATCAAACAGTTCGCTGGGACAGATGTCATTATCGAACTGCCGCCGTGATGCAGTGGTGTTCCCGAAGCGCTCGCAGTTGTCGAACGACCCCTGCGTGGAGGCCGGCGGTACTGCGTTCACCAACCAGGATGGAGCGAATTCCGTGGGCTCATTTTCACACTCCGGAATCAAACATCTAGAAAACAGATATAAAACAGATATTTAGTTTCATTGACATAGCACAGAAGGATTATTATGTTAAGGAAATTAGGTGTTATAACGGCACCTACTTCTAGACACACAGACAGATAACGTTAAGTACTGAGGTATTGTCCTCATTACCCCGGCTTACTACTGTCTATAGTTCTGTTCATCAGCTTTAACTAGGTAGTATAATATCAGGATGAATATAATAGGATTAAATGAATTAGTAATATATTATCAAGGACCTACCTGGTGCTGATGCGGGCCGTGGAGAAAACGTACTCCAAGTTACTCCAAGCTACTAGCATGACTAGTACAGCGGCAAGCAGGAAGGTGCGGAGCTGGTACCTGCCGAACTGGCCGAGCTCCTCCACCAGCAGCGTGTCCAGCTCCATCCTTCGCATGCTCACGTCGGAGCCCCTGGCAGTACCCACCATGCTATCCACGAAATATGAGTACAGATACACTAACTGCACTGTATGGTCGTACACAGCTTCCTACACAATGATCTGCATCCAAACATACTTAAGTGTGTTATCTTAAATGCGTTTATCTCACAGATATAATATTTGTGTGGTTTATCCAGTCTGTCGACCGATGTCAGACTTTTCAGATATGCATTAGAATTTTATTGAAGTGTCTTAGTAAACACTTGTAGTTCATTAAAATGTCAGCGTTGGGTATCATTTTCGAGTTATCATCATTGTGTTACAACTGTAAGTAGTTATACAAGTGCATTTTTTTTAATACGTTGCCCCACTCTACGATTTTCTCTTGTATCTTAGGTGTGTTGACACCCAGACCCGAAACAACAATCTGTGGATCACACAAATAGTTGTTCCATACGAGAATCGAATCCGCGACACGTTGCGGGGTAGCCAGTTGCCCAGCCACCGCGCCAACTGTGCAGTCTAATGTATGTCTGTATCTGTACCAAAGTTGGGCTCTCATATATATTTTCCCTCCTTAAGAAACGGTTATTATATCCATTATAGTTCATACAAAATAATATAAACATGGTCGCAAGTGCGACTGCCGGGCAAGGGGTCTCGGGTTCGATTCCCGGGTCGGGCAAAGTATTACTGGGTTTTACAAAAAAAACTCAGTAGTACCACGGAGTCTGGAATTATGTCCGGTATATGGCAATAAGCTCACCCCCTATTACATGGGACTCATAACATAAATAATGAAAAGTGGGTGTTACATTGTACAGCGGCGTGATGTGCACCTCTGCCTACCCCTTAGAGAATAAAAGGCGTGATGTTATGTTATGTTACAAAATGATATACTCGTATTTACTAAATTGTTAGTAAATTGTCAAAAGGCATCTTGAATATACGTCACAAAGGATAATGGACACATTGGGCGTTACCCCAACAGTCTCTATTATATATGTCATTTGAAAGGCATGTATACTTTGTTTATTACCGTGACAACATTTAGCTAGGACGCCGGGAAAAAGACAACGGCCCACAAACGTAGCAAAATCTTATTTTTCCATGAAGCAAACATAATAAAACTAAAATCTGAATAAAATATTATATTTATTACAATTATAATAATTATGTATTAATTGACTAAGTATATTAAATAGGTACAATAGTAATGAGATCACGTGGTAGTTTTCTTCTTGCCGAGCTGCTCCGCATCCTCGAAGGTGTCTGGTAGCTTGGTGCCCAGCGTCTCCGGCGTCGTGAAGATCAACATGCCAGATAGTAGAGCGAAGCTACCGAACAGGACCGAGGGGAATGGCTCCCAAACTTCCGAAGCCTATAAAAAAATTTAATAATTAGTCATCTCGATCGTATTTAGTTTAAAGTATAGAATTTCAATGAACATGCAAGCTTTATGTAGTCATTAAATTAAAACACATAATTCGTCAGATTTCGCGCTAACAAATAAAAACAATGAGAATTAAACCAAATTAATTAGGATACTTTGCTAGCTAGGCTACATGTCAGAGCTATACTTGCAAATAAAAATGTAATGATACTTGTTAATAATGAACTTACAAGAGCTGGTGTGAGCGGCGCCGTGATGGATCCGAGCCGGCCCACCATGGAGGAGAACGCGAACAGGTTGTGGCGGTACTTGGTGGGGTACAGCTCCGCCGTGTATACGTACACCGAGGTCATCACGATGGCGATACAGTACTTGCCGAACAGGTATAGCGCCAACTGGATACCCTCGTTACCTAGAAAACAATCAAAACACGGTGAATGTGTGATGCAGTTAGCAAGCACGAGTAGTTTAATGTAATCAATAATGGTCTTTAGATCTACTATATTTGCATACTACAAGAGCACGGTCTTTTTTTAAGGGATAAGCCAGGATCTACAGTAGATACAACCATGAAAACACCGGAACATTGAAGTCCGGCGCGTCCCAGGGACATGAATAACAGTCTTGGTTCCCGCAACGAAGTGAATCAGAAGATATTATGAGGAGAAAAGAGCACGGTATGTTAAATTACCTTCAGGCATGAAAGCGAACGAGAACTGGCAGGCAGCGCACAGCCAGTACGCGCAGATGAGCACAGGCTTGCGACCGATGCGGTCCAGCAGCAAGATGGCAGTCCAGTAGCCAGGGATCTCGATGGCCGCCACCGCCACGTAGTTCAGGTACCCGTTACCCGACATGTTCACCGAGTTGATGTTCATGCCGTAGTACACCAGCGTGTTCGTGATCCACCAGATCGGTGACACCAAGCACCGCGACAGAATCACACGAGACCTGAACACCAACACCACCAGCCATGGCTCCTTTGGCTTTACAGTATTCTTCTCAGCCTCGGCGGTAGCTCGCAGCGCTTCCAAACTCTTGTCAGACAGTTCCCTCTTATTAGTTTTGGCCACTTTCTTCAGAATCTGTTCAGACTCTTCATAGCGACCCTTACTCATCAGCCACCTGACGGACTCCGAGAGGATCCAGAAGTAGCTGACGACTAACAACTGTGGCGCGTACAAGACTTGTGTGAGCGGTCGCCACGCAGGCACTCCCCACGCTATGAACCCGAGGATTACTTGGCCCAGAGCGAACAGGGTGGAGATTGTGGCACCAGCTATCACACGGTACTTAGGTCCCACCAATTCCGTCACTGAAAGTAGAGAGAGGGGCATTTGAGATTTATTGTTTGTTTTTTATTGTAATTAAACAAGTGTGACTGACGAGTGCCCACTCACCTAAAATATAACAAGAAGAATACGCTCCAGCTCCCACAGAGGACTCGAGCACTTCGAGCGCCAGGAACCATTCGTATGAGTTGACGAAGGAGCGCACGAGACCGATCCAGCCGGTGTTGAAGGCATTGATGGTGAGCGCCACGCGCCGCCCCCAGCGGTCCGAGATGTAGCCGGTGATGGGCAGCACCAGCAACGTGCCGATAGTACGGATGGATCCGATCTGGGAGCGCTTCCACTCGTCGCACGCCATGTCGAACTGGAGTCAGTACATTAAAATATTTATAATGTACTGTACGTACCTAACTGTTATTATTTATCATACACGTAATATTTTTTTAATGAAGCGCCAGTATTACAGATTACATGCCATTAACTATTAATATTCATCCAGAAATAAATAAACATCCATCGTTAATAACTACATGAGTGGACTAACAGCAGAGAGTGACTGCCTCGTTGGCCGAGTGGTCGCAAGTGCGACTGCCAGGTAATGGGATCGCGGGTTCGATTCCCGGGTCGGGCAAAGTATTACTGAGTTTTTTTAAATCTCAGTAGTAGCACGGAGTGTGGAAATGTGCCCGGTATATGGCAATGAGACTCAACATTAATAGTGAAAAGTGGGTGTTACCTCAGCCTACCCCTTCGGGGATAAAAAGCGTGATGTTATGTTATGTATGTATATCTAAAAATCGCTGATAAGCTGATGAATCTTCATTCATATTCTTTAAGGTACTAAACATGTCCTCAGCAGGGTCACACGCCACGTAAGGCACAATACGTATTTATCAAGTTCACCTGGTTTATGACTATTAACTAATTAGCTTCGTTTATCGCCGGCGAGTTAAGTCGATAGAGGCAGTAAATAATGATCGATTACGACAATTACCTACTTTGACGGTCGGTCGGATTATGATAATTTAATAAATTCCTCGTACTATCAATAATAATATATCTATCTCTAGACTACAGGTACAATAAATTACGAGTACTGCCATTTCGGGCGTATTTTACGACTCAACTAATATACTTAGATTAATACTGTTTACATGAGAATTAACAAGTATTTACCCCACGGAGACGAAAGTAATTTCATGCGAAGAGTTCCAACCGAGACACTTGATTAATCGCCGTACTTAGTCTTTTAATGGTTACTTATCCTAGTCGTTAGCTATTGTTTTCGGAACAAAAATGATATTAAGGAAAAGTGTAAGAAATCATCATATGTCTCAGAGTACTGCAGATAATGTACGTTAAAAGCAATGCAACCAGATTAGCTTAGTTTAAACGTTAGATAGCTTTAGAATTTTACGTAGAATTTTACATTTCTAATTAACTCGTCGCGTACCGGTTTTGTAGACACAATTATAGAACAATAGGTTGCGGTCCGCTTGGTGTTTGACAGTTTAAATATCTATTAACCTAATCTATTAAACTCTTACTCTCTCTCTCTCTCTCTCTCTCTCTCTCTCTCTCTCTCTCTCTCTCTCTCTGTGTGTGTGTGTGTCTCTCTCTCTCTCTCACACACACACACACACGCTTACACACACATATATTCATTCATTTACTCACACAACTAAAAATAATTTCAATTACTTTTGGCATGTCATACCGTTCTACCATACCTTTTTATTTTTTGTCTAGTTTTTCTTTTTGTTGTTCATAAATTGGTTCATTTAGAGATCAAGTAGTTATTATTCTTAAGAATGTTCAATAAATAAAGTACCTTCCTTTACTTGGGCGAGACAGACCCAACAGATGTATTGTATAATAACTTACTGGCACTGCCTCAATGTCAAACAGATATTGTAATTCTTGAGATAATAAATAATTTCAATTTAGGTACTTACTAAATCTACAACAACGGACAACTACCTACACAGATATTTGTGTACGCAGACACAAGTACAGTACTTAATGTGACTTTCTACTACGATTTGAATACAATCGGCACTAGATTATGTCCTAGATGTAGCGGCCATAGATGGAAGAAATGAGAAGACGTCTTGTTAACTTACATCATAGACGACGCTGAGCTGGTTCTCGTATATATGGCTGTTGCAGGTCTTGGTAGTCGAGTTGTCGAAGAGTTCCGCGGGGCAGGTGTCTTCCTCCACATCTATCGTAATGTTCCTGCGCACGTACCGCTCGCAGCCATTAAAGGTACTGCCACTCGGGGGGAAGGCACTCAGCGCCCAGTCCGGGGAGAACACAGGGTTTTCTCCATCACATTCCGGGATCAAACACCTGTAGGGGACACCAAAAGGTATAAGGGTCTATTCCCACTCGTTATAGGTAATTATGTTACGAAACATTTGCGGAAAGTATGCTTTTACTATGAACTAATAGATTTTGATATAGAAATATTAATATTTAGTGGAAGTAATGTGCAGTCGCCCAAACATTGCCTTAGGGGGACCCAAAACCTGTGTCCGATAGTTGACCGTGACGGAACCCGGAAGATACCCTACACCGTAACTGATACATTGGAGTGAACCCGTCTGCGAGCCACGTTATGTACAGGTCGTGTATTGTGTTGTCTCTAAAATATTAAATGATATTCTTATCTATCTGGTCTAATTAAACCATCGGTTCTAGTTTATTCACATTCCCGAATAAATTTATTATTCGACCAGTTTGACAGTAGTCTTTAATATTGATTGACATTCAAATTACCTCGTGGATATCCTGGCGGTAGTGAAGATATACTCTCCGGAGGCGAACGCGGAGAAGATCACGGGAAAGGCAGCGAGCAATAACGTGACTATCTGGTACTTGCCGAACTGCCCCACCTCCTCCACCAGGATGTTATCCAGGTCCACCGGCTTGTGCGAGCCGCTGTCGCCTTTCTCTTCGTTCGACATTTTGCTGTCGTTGGTCGCTTCGTCGGCTGACTGGCGCGTATCCGGGGTTCCTAGTCGAGCGGTCCGCGAGCCAGCGTCGCCGTGCACCACCGCTGCCGTAATGCCAGTGCTGGACTGCTGCCAGTATTAATCAACACTACGTCATCTAAGCTACTGTTATCGCTCATATAGATTACCGCAATCATACAAATATTGATCACTTTTATTGTTAAGAATAATCATCAAAAATACCAGTTTGGTGTCTGTTATCTGTCAGGACACTTCACGCTAATTAGGAGAATAGCACTTCTCCATAAGGATTACAATTGCTTGAGTTACATTAACACGTTATGTTAATTATCCTTCAGATACGCGAGAATTGAGATAATGCGTATCTCATTTAGTATTGTTTACAGACTATAGATTAGCAAATTACAATATTCAAAAACTTTTGTTATGTTACTTGTAATCACTGATGTCCTTCTGTATAGTTATGATTGTGAAGTAATGTGTTGTGTTCCTACTTACGTAGCAGCGCTTTCAGGACACAAATGAAAGGAATCTTTCCTTAAAATAATTTTAATATCTACAAACAATCACTCTGAGTCTGAGTCCACATTGGAAGTTCTTTCTCTTTTAAGGTTCACAACTTGTCGGTCCCTAATTTTCAAACTGTTAATGAGCTTCATCACTTGTATCCTAAACTCGAACTTGGCGCTCTCTGAGAGTTTCTTCACGGACGGAGTGATGGACTTGAAGAATGCTCTGTCCTCGTCCTCCTCCTTCTGTATTAGGTTGGCGAGTACTGCTACGATGTTCTCCTCGTTCTCATCCTTGCTGGTGTTGTACTCAATCTTGGCCCGCTTGGGCGGACACTCGACGGTCTGCGTGTCTCCCCCCTCCTCGATGTCGACGAACACCTCCTGCAGCCAGTTGTGTGAGTTGTCGTTGTCTGCGTCATCATCGTTGGATATCTGTTCCTCGATGAAGCTCTTCTCACTTTTCCTGTCTCCCGCCAGGTAGATGGGGTCTAGGAACTGCATCTCCTCGGCGTACAGGTACGGTCGTCGCACTCCTGGCTTGCGAGACTTTACGTACGAGTCTCTGACGTTGTACCATTTCCTTGTGATTATATTACCTGTAACATACATGTATGCAAATTAGACATCATTTAAATACATTTACTGCTTAAGTTAATTCTTGAATATTTTGTTTGTACTCGCACGTGTACAAAGTGGAAATTAAACAGGTACATACATTCATTCGCACCGACAACAGACTCTCAGTAATTACGTAGAAATAATACAACTTTATTCAATTGCACATTGCAATTCAACGTACTATGGTACACTTACTTGTTCTTACCTAAGAACTTAAACCTAAGAACCGCCTCTGGTGTTGCGGCGTCCATGGGCGGCGCTGATCGCTTACCATCAGGTGACCCGTCTGCTCGTTTGCCTCCTATTCCATAAACTTTACATCACGGCTTTTATCCCCGAATGGGTAGGCAGAGGTACACATTATGCCACTGTACAATGTAACCCACTTTTCACTATTTATGTTATGAGACCCATGTAATAGGGGGTGAGCCTATTGCCATATACCGGGCACAATTCCAGACTCTGTGCTACTACTGAAAATTTTTAACAACCCCAGTAAAACTTTACCCGACCCGGGAATCGAACCCGAGACCCCTTGCCCGGCAGTCGCACTTGCGACCACTCGACCAACGAGGCAGTCCTATTCCATAAAAAACCTATAAAATCCGAGCCGTAGACAATTTCTCAAAAGAAAAGTACACAATATAACAGATCCGGGAATCGAACCCGTTCACTCAAATAAAGTAAGTAGATAGAAATACAAAATAATTACAACGTTTTGTAAGCTTACCAATTAGAGTCTTCTTGTTTTCGTTGAGCGTGTCATATGATGGTTCGAACTCGAGGTAGATCTCGTGCCAACACTTGTCCTTGGCGGCCTTGTCCCGGTACGAGGGGTGGCAGCGGTCCCACAAGCACCGCTTCTGTCGCACCAGCTCGATGAGCTCGCGTGTCGAGATCATCTTCTTCGAGAACAGCAACACACTTGTGCTGCAAACAAATATTTCATGTGAGAGCCGCGCTTCTGCACGCGATGGGAGTGATACCACTGCCTCACAGAAGACTGGCGTACCACAATCAAATCGTGTGTGTGAGGTTACCGAAAGCCATCACATCCACAGTCCCTAATCTTTAAATCCCCAAATCCTCAATCCCCAAAGGCTGACAACGCACTTGTAACTTCTCTGGTGTTGCGGGTGTCCATGGGCGGCTCAGATTGCTAACCATAAATATGGTGATTAGATGCTCGTTTGCTGCCCTATGCCATAAAAATAAAATCACACAAAGCATTTTTGTCAATCATACACGTACAGGCTTTATTGAAGCATCATACAGTGGGTGGAGTCTACGGACCCTCATTCTCAGTCTCCGCTTGATACCCCACGTCCCCACGTTGTGCAACTAGCTAAATGATCTTATATTGTTTCATTGTGTAGCAGGTACCATAACGTCACTCCTTTTGTGCCCTAAAGAAATAGTTATTGGAAGCTGTACACGTTTAACTCGTCGAGTACCGTCATTATAGACACAATTATAGAACAATAGCTTGCGGTCACCGGCGACCGCGCGGTGTTTGACAATTGTAACTATTTATGTTCTAGTACAAATATCAAGAACCTATTGCACTATATGAATTCCAGACTGGGATACCGTCAGTCATTACCTTGGTATTAAGTATTAAAAATCATAAACTTTGATCAATATCAATGCTTATAATTGTATTGAAAGTGAAGAGTCTCTCAGTAGTTGTATTAAACTTCAGAATGCTTTTAGGTAGGTACATTCTAAATACTAAACAAACTACAACTACAAGTACGAAGGGCAAGGGTCTAGATCCTAGTAATTTAGTAACTTAACAACATTAAAGTGATTAAATACATTTAAACGACGAATTCGCAATGAAATCTCTGATATTATGCATGGGGTCCATAAAAAATATTCCTAACGTGTCCAGAAATTGGCCCTTAACCTCTTATATGAGACACAATAGAACACACATTGTGTACACGAAAACGTTTTCAAAATAAATCACATTGCCGAAAAAAAAATATGATTGATTCATCTGTACGTAGGTACTTATTGAAATTCTGACAAATTGTCAAAAGTTCACGGAGAACATGAGTAAACACTGCCGACCTTGAACTAGTTTCTCGAATATTGAACCGAGTTTCGCGCCAAATGTATGTCAAACGACCTTACCGCCCCGGCATAAAGACCAAAATAGAATGCTCCGGTCCTGATTGTAAGCAAAGTTCATTCTGTTTCAATAAACAATATTCTTAGTTTGACGAAGTAATTTCTCTCTGTTTCGGGTATATACCGAGTACACAAGATCATATGTGTGTGTGAGGGAGCGCGAGACGTTCTGTGTCCACCCACCTTGTGTCCGAGTCCGACATTATCGATATCTTCAAACTGCTGCTATCCGGTTTCAAAATGGCGGTTTCTCTTGAAATTTCACTCCAAACTACACAAAATACATTGTACGTATGAAAAGATGGCGGGAATTTTATGAAGAATTAATATTTCGTATTAAATGTTGTGCTAAAATGCGTATATTCCCCTAGCGAGTTTACACAATACTGTCGGCGGCGGAGCGGAGCGGCAGCCGCGCGCCGGACGGTCGCTATCCGGTCCGAAGAACGGCAACGTCGCGTACCGGAGTTGGAAGTGTCGCAACGTTGCGCGCCGTCTACGGTTACCTAACTTAGCTAGGTGCGGCCGTGTGCGTGTATCCCATACATCGTACCTGACTACGTTATATTTTGATAATTCTTACAGTGTATTCAGCGAACTTTACCTTCCTGTCATTCATAACTCATCTCAATCATAATACAATTTTATTTAGACTTTGGTACTATGTATGATCGTATTAAATACCTATCCTATATCTAATACTCTTTAGATCAGTGCTAACGAGCAACTTCCGAACGCCTACAAGACCCCGGGTTCGATTTTAGAGTTAGGTGTTATTATGTACAATGTGTTATGTACCTATAATTTTCATTGTTTGCTCTGTACGTCTACTAGCCATACCTTACCTACAGACAGTGTGTCCTCGTAGTTACACATTAATGACAAATGACATGAATTCTGGAACATTACTGGAACATAATTATGATACTATTGGAGAAAAAATGTACTTTTGGTGAACATCACGATCGGCGGTCTTTTTTTTTTTTTTTTTTTATTTTTAAAAACGTTTCCCCTACATTAGGATTTTCTCCTGTATCGTGGGTGCGTTTACAAACATAGGAGCGCCCATGTGCCCTGCGGTCTTTATGGCTTGTGGAACTGTCAGGCCAGTGAGGTTTTTTAGAGTATCCAACCATTTTTTTTACTGAAGTCCGGCGCGTCCCAGGGACATGAGTAACTGTCTTGGTTCCCGCAACGAAGTGAATCAGAAGATATTATAAGAGGAGAAGAAGAAAAACTATGGTTTTCACTTCCCTCGGTGAATTACTGCAGGAGACAGAATGAATTAAGCCTAAAGGCACAAAGAAGAGACTGTACAACTGGGTGAAGCCCAGTCGCCAAGCACCACGGAAATTTGACTAAAAACTAAGTGGGTCCTATGTGTGAGCTGTCGATCGACGATCGGCGGTCTGCTATTTTTTTTACACATTAGTATTTCCTCGTGTGTCGTGGGTGCGTTTACAAACATACAAGTTCACATACACACCCATGACACCCGGACCAGAAACAACAATTTGTGGATTACACAAAGTGTTGTTCCGTGCGGGAATCGAACCCGCGACACGTTGCACGGCAGCCGGTTGCCCAGCCACCGCACCAACCGTGCAGTCGTGTGCACCACTTACAATGGAAATAGCTAATATACATATATCAAATACTTTTATTGGTATAAATCATAGAGTCATACCGGACAGAGTCCCAGAATCAGGGTACTTCCAGGGACACCCTGTTCAGGACCAAGTGTTAGTAGAATTTGCTACGAGTCTGAGCTTGATTGAGCTACTGCTAACACTAATCTTTATTGCAAGAGTGGTCATTAGCTCTGACTGCCTCGTTGACCGAGTGTCAGGCAAGGGGTCTCGGGTTCGATTCCCGGGTCGGGCACTGGGTTTTTAAAAAAACTTCTCAGTAGTAGCACGGAGTCTGGAATTGTGCCCGGTATATAGCAATAGGCTCACCCCCTATTACATAGGGCTCATAACATAAATAGTGATAACTGGGTGTTACATTGGACAGTGGCATTAAATGCGTAATGTGCCCCTCTACTTACCCCTTCGGGGATAAAAGGCGTAATGTCATGTATATGTTCGTATGTAAGGTCATCAGCCGGTCATAGCAGTAACAAATTGTGACAAACTCCACTCCTGATGGGGTCATCGCGGTTCGAGTAATTACGACTAAATCAATTACCAGTGCCTACGTGTATTCACAATTAAATATAAACAGTGACTGTGTAATTAATGACCACCGCTGAAGACAATGTTCGTCACTTAAGTACAGTTATATACAAATATAGATAGTAGCTACGTGCTACTAGAGAACATATCGTTAGGCTACTGTGCATGTTGTGACACCTTAAAATGTTGTGCATTTAAAATTTATTACAATGCTTACATTGTAATAAATTTTAAGCACTTATGCTTAGATATAACACCTAATGTAGCAACTATTGGTTGTCCAAATTATAAAATAAATAAATAAACACGTGTGTTATTTGTTAATTGCTACACATTTGTTATTATTTTCCCCTTATTTAAAGACCCGGCTGATTGAATAACAACACAAATCCTTGTTTCTATGATTTCTATAAACTACACCAACTAAGGTTGTCCTTCCTTGTCCTTGTTGTCCAACTAACTGTATCGATGCTAAATGCGACGGCACCGCCTAAAAAAACAGCTTGTGTGCGAACGGCCGACGGTAAGAAATAAAAACAAAAACTCATAAAATAAAAAAATACAGTTTATTTCAGTAAAAACTTGTTCAAATTTTTGTCAATAAAGATACGACATAATACAAAGAGGATTTGATGTCGCTCTCCCTGAACTAAATGGTCAGTCTCCAAGACCAAACTCAGATCTCAAATTGTCCTCAAAAACCAGATTGATGAATAATACTAGTTACTCTGATTTGTCTGTTGGTATTTCCAAAATGTCGTAGATACCTGTGCCGATCAAGAATAAGGTATCACCCTGAGTCCGTTTGGAAAGTCATAACTGACATTCAGCTAAATGCGAGTTAGACTCAGTTTACTCAGCGCCGCCCCCAACCTGATTGGGCAAAGGTCTGGATAAAGTATTATTCCGGTGATATTAGTAATCGGTATCTGAATCAGGCTGTGTGTCCCTCGGCTTGATGATCCCGAGCTTGGTGGCGAGTGCGGCGACATTGGCGCGCACCTCCTCCTGCACCAGGTTGAACGACATGGCCAGCAGCGCTATCCCGAACAGTAAGTACAGCGAGCACAGAGCTATGGAGTGCACCGCCGCTGCCGGGTCGTCCACACTCTGACCCTACGCACAATATGTAAAAGCTTGAATTAGTACAGCCATTTTTATTTTGTACTCTAATAGCCTGTAAATGAATGTAAGCAATGTTCGAATAAGACCTTTTCTTTACGTTAAACCTTAACAGGCGTTTTTGAAACGCCATAAATAAAATGGTATATAGTAAAATAAAAAATGTTCCTCTTTAAGCTGGCAATCTTATAACAATATAACCTGAGCGGGCACGAAGTCGCCAAAGCCGATGGTGGTGAGTGTGATGAAACAGAAGTAAGCGGCGTCCAGGTACTCCCAGCTCTCCCAGCTCTTGAAGAGGAACGTTCCTGCCACGATGTACGATGCCACCAGGAACACGCACAACCAGATCGGGACCGGCTTTATCTTCATCAAAACAATTAGTACTTAAATATACATACTTTAAGGGACAAAAAAAATTGTGAACAACTGGTCATCAGTTACTCACCTCCTCCTTAACTACATCGGAAGGCGGGTGGTATATCTCAGAAGCTCGGGAGCCCCATGCTAACAAAGGAAAGGAGAGAAATTAGCGAAATGGTAAGTTTTAATACCTAGAGAGAAAGATTAAAAAATAACGTAGTACAAAAATCTCTTCTGGTGCAAGAATAGCTGTTAAGAATCAATCACTTAAGCAGAATATTTGATGTTGGTATTCATAATTCACCTTGGGGTGGCCTACTGCGTCGCGGCACCACCGCCACCTCGTCGCTCCAGTCATCTCTCTCCACAGAGGGCGTCTACAAAACAAACCAAAACATCTTCAATCTTCCATACTACGGCCAGTCTCTTTATAAAACTATACTCTACTAGGTAGGTGTTACATACACGTGTACGGTATCTACTGTCGTCTACAGTGTGCAGTCTCCGCAGTGGGCGGCGCGGCTCGGGGGGCGGAGGTGGTGGTCGCTCCTCGTCCCAGCGCTCACTGTCGTACATGGCGGAGCGTGCGCGGCGCTGGCGCCGGTGGGACCGCTCCCATGGCTCCTCACGCTCCACGTACTCCGACCTGCCTCTCTCCGCCCTGAACAAAACCTTACCTTTTGACTATATTATCCTATGACACGGCCGATGTACGGACTGTAACGCGTACCTCATATCACGTCTCGACCTCCTGCCCTTCGGATAGTCGAACTCAAAATCCTCATCTTCTGGATCATACCCGCGATCTCTGTAACCATACAGTTCCTCTCGCTCCCTCCGCCGCTCTCTCTCCAATGCCTGTCTTTCCTTATAATTCTCATAGTCCACGTCATGTAGGTCATGCATCTCATACATATCTCTGGGATCATCTTCGAAATGTCTCTGATCATCGAAGTCTCGCCGCGGCCCATACTCGGGCTTTGCTTTCGCTGGTCGAGGTAGAGATTTGCTACGTAACTCCGCTTTTGAAGATATTTTCATGTGATGAGTTTCCAGGTCTTGCAATGCCGCCTCTAGGTCTTGTAGTGGTAACGAAATCTTAGGGAACTCCTCTGCAAGGATTGAATCAATTAAGACTACAACTCTACCGATGACCTCAGAAGACTTAATTCGAAATCGCTAACCTGCTCTATCGTCATCATCGTATACGTCTCGTCCCTCTCGGCCATGCTTCTCATAACGGACTGGTGACGACTCCTCCAAGTCGTAGTCTCTGCCTACTTGAAAGAAGGAAAACTGATGAATAATTAAGTAGGTATAACACAATTTCGCAGAGATAAGTAATATGTGAAGCTACCATGTAGTCTGGCATGCGGTGGTGGCTGCGACCTGGTGCGCGGGAGTGAGGCGGCGTGACTCGCGGGGCCCCGCGGCCTGCGCACGCGCCCACTGCTGTACCCACTGTCGCGATACCTAACGACACAACGTTAATTGACTCCAAACCATAATATATTACTTAGGCCACGTTCAGATTCGATTAGTATCGAATCGAATAAAATTTAACATTACTGTCATGCCTGACTATACGTATTTCGAAGCGTTAATGGTATACCTATTATAGTGCCAAAATCATAAAAAAGTCAAAGTCTAATTCCAATACACTGTTTTACCATTTCCAAGTGCGTGTGAATAGACAAATTGACACGAGTGTTTGTAGAATAACAAATAAGTGTTTTGCTGCACCAAAACGTGTCTCTGAAGTCCAAATAGCCGATCCTTTTTAGACGGTTACACCGAGGGTCTCCCTAATTCTTCGTATGTGTTCACAAAAAAGACCCTGGTAAACAGGTATGAGCAGCTATTGTGTGTTGTGTACCTGCAGTCGGTGTCCGAGTGCGCGCGCTCGATGGGGCGCGCGCGCCGCCGCGTCGAGCCGCGCACGCTGCCACCGCGCACCGACCGCCTGCCACAGGACAATATTACTCCTGGCGGAGCCGTCTGCGCACATGACTTGTTACAAACCTTACATTACACATTTAGGAAAAACCCAAGTGAAATTTAGTGTTCAGCACAGATGATAGTGATCTGATGAAGAATTAAATATGAAAACGCACTTAATTGTGATCAAAACAGAGTATCTATCTTAGTCTGTCAATGTTATATGTTGCAATGATGGTGTGATAGTGCACCTCGTGGAGGGATGGTGGCGGTGGCGGCGCTTTGGAGGGCGAGTGCACACGTAGCAGCACACGCGCCAGTAGAGGAACCTGGAACATTTCGTTCACATTACAACCTTTATATTCTATCAATTTTGTAAGCGAGAAATCGAGAGTTACGTAATAATACCCTGAGTTAATCCTCAAAACCGTCTGCTACACTAACTCTACAGCATACAAATATCGATTATTTCTCTTTTTCTCTTTTCAGTAAATATGAAACTGATCGATAAGCGCCTTTGAATATGTTGCTAGCAACGTCAATATTTACATCTTGCTATTGAGATATCGTAAACACGTGTCGTGTAATGTAAATTAAGTTAATAAAATATATTGGTAATTATATTGCTAGCGACCTGAATGAGGACGCCATGACGTCACCGATGTTGGATAGACACAGCAACATGAGTGGGATGCCCAGGATCGCGTAGAATATCGTCACCACCTTGCCCGTCTGCGTCTTGGGCGCAATGTGCCCGTAACCTGCGAACGTGATTCAAATAGTTATTATACCCTCATTGTACTTATATGAAGTGTGTATGTTCGTACGTAAACATAAAGAGCTGTTCAAAACGGCAGAAGATGTATGTTCTAGAAGTCGACGCGACCGTCACAGACTAGTACTAGAGGAGTTTCCTAAGTTAACAAAATATAACAGAAGCTGCCTAACTTAGTTTGTCCGAATATTTAGTAAATTGCTGATTACAATAAAAATACTCAATCTCAGACTGTTTAAAATTAAATTATATGTATGGTTGAATGAAAATAATTTTTATAGCATTAAGGATTTTTTTGAATACAAATAATAATATATAACTTATAACTACGAGTGTAAGTTAGTTAAAATAAGTTTTAAGGTAAAATTTGCATGCTTTATTTATTAAGCAAAACATGATGATCTATTATATTGTAACTATAACATGTTTTTATGCAAATAAATGTTTTTATCTTTATCTATCTTTATCTTTGTTATTCAATTACTAATACTTGTAATTTTTCAGATTTCTGTGTGCATTATTTATTTATAATTTATTCTGTATCTACTGAAGTAGGTACAATGCAATGCAATACAATGAATTGTATACCGTACAATACGGTACAACATATAGGTACAGATAAATAAAATTGGACTGTCTGTTTGTATTATTAAAATAACCGCCTCTTACTACATGTATATGAATTTTTTTTTTTTTTTTTAAGGGGGGAAAATCATCGAATGACTGCCCCCGCCTGGGTGAGGCGGGAGGGAGTGTCAGACTCTTACTGACTAAAAACCACCCCGTTCCTTCTCCTGCACGTCGAGCCGGAGCCCCGGTTACCCGTTAGGTTCTCCGCGACTCCGAATCGGCATCGGCCCTATTGGGCCCCATCTGTGGTGGTCTGATGGCTCTTTGAGGCGCGCGCGGAACGCGACGCGCCGTACGCTCGGGTCTGTTTCTGGTCGGACGGGGAGCCACCCATGCTCGCCGTCCGCAGGCCCGCGCTTACGGTGGCCGGAGATCGTCCCGCGATCCCCGACGCCCGGTGTGTCCTTCGCGATGGCTGGGTTGCGAGGAGGCAGCGCTTCGCTGCCTCACGCGTCCCGCCTCCTCCTTAGCTAGCATGACTGCTTCGCAAAAGGAGGAGACGGCATCCCAATCCCCCTCGCTCCGCATCATGGCCTGCACTAGGCCCGGACGCGAGAGGTCGCCATCGCCGATCACTTCCCTGAGGACACGGCGGTGCTCAGCCCACGAAGGGCATTCTCCCACCGTGTGTTCCACCGTGTCCTCAGGGCGGTCCTCGCAGTGATGACACCCGGGCGTTTCCTCCCGCCCCATCAGACACAGGTACCTCCCGAAACTTCCATGTCCGGTGAGGACCTGCGTCAGGCGGTAGGTGAGGACGCCGTAGCGTCTCTCAAGCCACTCCTCAAAGAGGGGACTTACCGCTGCGATGGCAGCGAGCCCAGCCCTCGGTTGCGACAGTCGTTGCTGCCATTCCGCCATGAGATCGCGCCGGAGCTCATCCCGCCACGCACCTATCTGGCGCGGCAGCGGGGTTTCGCCCCGGCGACGTGCCTCCGCGCGCATGCTGTACACGCGCGCGAGCACCTTCGCCTCCAGATCCCACGGCGGTAATCCGGCAAGGAGGTTCGCCGACTCCCCAGAGATCGTGCGGTATCCGCGGATCATTCGGATCGCCATGACCCTCTGTGCCATGAGCAGCGTCCGAGCGGGACGCCGCAACAGGTTTGGCGCCCAAACAGGGGCGCCGTAGAGGGCCATGGACCGCACGACCCCGGCGTATAACCTCCGGCAGGAGGCGTTTGGCCCCCCGAGGTTGGGGAGGATGCGTTTAAACGCAGCCCCCGTCCTCGCCAACTTTGGAGCCAAACGTCGGAAGTGTTCAATGAAGTTCCAACATGTATATGAATAGATATGATAAACATAGCAAAACAATTTCTTTTACAATTTTTGTCTGTCTGTTTGTTTGTACCGGCTAATCTCTTGAATGGCTGGACCGATTTGGTAGGACTTTTATTGGCAGTTAGCTGATGTACTGAGGAGTAACATAGGCTACTTTTATTTTGGAAAATTGAAACAAGAAAAAGTTATGTCCTAAAATTCATTTTCTACGCAGACGAAGTCACGGGCAACAGCTAGTAATACATAATAATGTGTACAATGGCGATTCCTGTTATAATTTCCTATAGATATTACTATAGATAGCTTATAATGTAAACAAATAAACAAAATGTTTTATTGAAATAATGTAGTTACTAGGTAGGTAGGCCATATTTTGCCAATATATTTGTGACTAGCTCATAAAATGTTAGAAAGAAAGGAATAAACAAATCTATCTGCGAAATATAAAAAAAGAACTAACACTATGAACTCGATAACGGTCGAGTTCACTCTCACTGCCGTTACGTCATCACATCTAAATATATCCTAACCAGAATGTAGCGTATTAATTCGACCTAACATAACAAGCATCGGTGGTTCAGTGGTAGAATGCTCGCCTGCCACGCGGGCGGCCCGGGTTCGATTCCCGGCCGATGCAATCTCTTTTTGTACATTATAAAACTTTTTTAACAAATTCTCAACACTCTTTTGTAATTCCTTTTACGAACAAATAGTTATAAAGAAACATTTTAAAGTATTACAACATTTTTCAATGGAATTAAAGTTTGTGGGTTAGTGGTGTTGCTGTTAGCAATACCTTTTACTAGCAGTAACAGTAAGGTAATACAGTATCGCAATAACTTGGGAATTCCGTGAGCACACGCCGGCCGGCCAGCCACCGCCGCGCGCCGGCTAATTAATACATACAAGTATCAGGACTGCGGCCCACGTGATACCATACACTCATTATAATATTTTCGTGAATACATTGGCCTTGACATCCATTACTATACTTGTCATTTTATAAGGATTCTTACCAATGTTTTGTTGTTGTCTTGAGAACGGAAATTCGACATTGTACGATACAAAACACACTGTTTCTTTAATTGTATGTAGCTAGTTAGCTACACATGTTTTTGTAAATCGTCGTTAGACGTTTTACTAAACATTGATTTATCTCCTTTCCGTGTTATTATAGGCATAAAGTACTTGAAGTACCTCCATCAAACTATCATGAGTATAATTAATGTAGGGTGACCGACAAACTAGCTACAAAATTATAATGTTTGTGATTATCTTGGATCAATACAACAAGTTTAGAGATAACGTTATTATATTTTTTGTGAAATCGATCTGTTTCCGTCGTTATTTGAAACGGATACCACCGAGGTCGACTTCTTGCGACCTCCTGCTCTCCAAATTACCCATATATCTACCTACCTAGCTACTACATGTATACTATACTACATCTATGAGTGGTACATTACATTGGCTGAAGGCGGAGAACTATAGAGAATACAGCATAAGATCATAGCACAACAAACTGTGCCACGAGTATGGACATAATACCTGATTGCATAATAAATAACTGAAAGTGCATTGTCTTCAATATTCTCTGGGAATCATTAAAAGTAAAACAGAAATAAAATACCTTCGACATTAATCATTAGATCTATACAGTAAGTATTATTCAATACATTGCGCTCTCCTTGTAAGTATAAATGACATTTTGAAGCTGAAATCAGGCTTCCTGATACTCGCTGGCCGCTCACCAATGTATCACTAAGCTGGCGATTACCTTTGTGTAATTATAAGATATCAGCAATAGTAATAGCCAGTGTAACAATGGTCTGATGTAGCACATAATTGGGTCATCATCGATAGCAACACAATGGTGCGGCCCTCACCGTCGACCTCCGTGATTCCCCAACACCAGACATGCTTGGATGTAGCTTGACCTCCACGCGATCCTCGCTATGTCCATTTGCCGTGATTAGTTATTGAATAGCCTGATTTAGTTATTGAATAACTCTTAACTGATAGTATGCAATAAATATATAAAAGTTAAATACCTATGCCGCCTACAAATCAATCAAAGTTCTGAATCAGGATGCATCAACATTTTTCACCACCTATACCAAATATCGTGTATAATGCTAAATTCTATCGGTTTAAGGATCACATAGCCGGCTGCTGTGCAACGTGTCGTGGGTTCGATTCCCGCACGGAACAACACTCTGTGTGATCCACAAATTGTTGTTTCGGGTCTGGGTGTGACGTGTATGTGAACTTGTATGTTTGTAAACGCACCCACGACACAGGAGAAAATCCTAGTGTGGGGGAAAATTTTTAAAAGAATAATAATAGAATAATGTACAAGATATGTGAACTTTATTTTCTAGTACCAAGCAATTTCCTATAAAAATCGGGCATTAGCCGGATCTGGTACTAAATATTATCAGAATAAGGAAGAGGTTTATACGAGACAATCTTTGTTTGAAGTATCTAAAATCAACCCTCACGGGGTGGTAGATGTGAGTACCGCGACAGGACTACAGGAGCCAGTGCGGGCGCTGGTAAACGCGCGTCCTTCAACTTACGACACGTCACGACGCTGCAATCTCTAGCGGCGCTAAAATGGCGCTCCACTAACATACTGCTACAGTTACCCAACATTGTAACACTTACGCACTCGGTATTAATTACCTACTTAGTATTATCCACAATAGCCCAATAACAATAGAATTACGGCATATGTACAAAAACCCCGTTGATGAATGTAATAGCAGTTAATATATTAAGTAACCGTCAGATATGTTCACTTAGAATTAACTTTAAATACCTACTACAAAGATGAGAAACTTTTATCCCACTGAATTGGCCCTTATTCCTCGTAAATTCGATAGAATTTATGTAGAATCTATATTGCGAAACAAGTACCCCGTAATGCATTTACCTAAGTCAAGTTCTCAGTGAATCTTCTTTATAATCCCTAATTGATTAGATCCCAAACGGATAACTATCCTTCGTTTGTGCAGACCTAAATTCAAAAATGAATGGTACTCAATAAAAATTCCGGGACACAGACCCTGAAAGAATCAATCAGTGCAATGTAACGTTGAGCACAGTTTTAGCGGCCCAGCGCGTACGCAAGTGCAGCTGAAATCAGCGGCGGGCAGCAGCACAACCCGCAGTTACATAACGTAGGGCGAGCAGAGCAGTCGCTCACCTAGTTCATGACTCCTACACAGTGATGTCTTGACTTATTCAAATTTATAAAAAATATTTTGTCCGTCCGTCCAAACGTGAAGTGTTTGTGCAATATTATATATTTTTTCTACAAAATGAATATCGGTTTGTATTTTATAATATTTTTAATTTATTATTTCTTAATATTTTTTTTTTATTAATTTATTGCTCTTACTAAATAACTAATCATAATTATTAAGGAGGAAATTAGGAAATCCTTTCCGACATGCACACACACATTCCTAAGTAAAATTGTAAAAGTTAGAATTTTTGCAAGCTTTGATTTAACTTGTAACGTATATTAAAATGTATATGTCTGTAAGTATCTAACTTATACTAATCTACGAATTATTTGGCATAGACGTAGTAGTGTGTCCATACACAATGGGTAGACTACACTGTCTATTCCAGTAGTGTGTATTGTGTACATATTATAATATTATCCTTGAGGTTTGCGCAACCCTCGCAGCCGCCCGCCCACGCGGTCCTCGCGCCTCACACTCCCGCTTCTATTCTACTCTAAAACATCATTAAATATGACAAACATAGCAAAATGTCTTAAAATGGTCGTTGACTATTAAACTTCTTGTTTCACAATCTGCAGCGTGTATTTTGTGAAATGTCAACGTCCCAAAGTTACCTGTATCTGTTGTTTCAATTGGCCATGAATTTACTAATTAATGAATTGCCATCTCACGAATTACCAACTTATACCAACAGATTATAATAAATAATAATAAATAAATGTATTGAATCAAGAAAGAGTTTACACAATTTTGTTTTACATAATGCCTATCATATTTTGTTTTATATAACTTACATAATATTTGTATCATGAAAACAAATTTAGCTGAAATAGATCTTAAGCCAACTTAAGACTTAACTTAACTGAAGACTAATCATGCAACTTCTTCAAGAACGGTATAATTACGAACAATTTTCGTCTAACTAAGTTACCATTCTTAACTTTTAAGAATGTTACAATAACAAACTGTTATCGTATCGTGTTGCAAAGTGCATTGTTAGCGGTTACTTATTTCCACTTTACACAAACGGCTTAAAACAAGTGATTTACTACTTCCGTACACGTGATACTTTGTTACAACAACTGAAATATTTGTAACATATCTTCACTTATGTAGGTGTAAGTTTTCATTAATTTATTTATTTTATGGTTTATGCACAACGCAGACTAAATACAGGACAAAGTTACATAGACACTGCATATCTCTTACGAGATTCCTTTCCGTAGCCTGGCATTTATATATGACACAGTATGTAACAACAAAAAAAAACTTAAACGAAGGATTCATTTATTAGTTATTAATATAAGTTCATACTGCCATGTTTATGTTATGCATTCACATACCTGAGATATCAAACATTGGACAATATCCTAAGCGAATAATGGATGCAAATTCAACATAATTAGTGACAACCTTTAACTACTGAAGTGGGTGTCTCATAGACGGCGTGTTCACGAATATAAGAATTTTCTTAAAAAACGTCCAAATAATTGTATTTATTGTAGCTAAGATTGTAACATTTGTAACATATATATTTTTTTACCGCTGATTTCATTCGAAAATGTTGTTTTTTTTTTGCACTTCCTTAATAGAATTATAATGGACCGATCATAATACAAGTAAATATTGTGGAAATCAGTAAATAAAAGTAATCCATTTCGATTATATTAAGGTGTTTGACATAAGTCACGTCACCATTTATGGTATGAGTAAACCACGTCAGGACTTGAAGGTTAATCTGAATGTAGTTAAGCCGCTACCGACCAAGTTAAAGATGGCAATAACCAAAAAAGTATTAGGGGTTAGAACCCTATTCTCAGTACATCATATATAGGTACAGTAGTTGGGAGCAATGCCGCTAGTGTATTGTCATATTATTGTGCTTTATCCCGTGGTATGCTGGAACGTAGATCTACGCGAGACACTATTGCGTTTTCTATTGTGTCTTGTATACAAGAGTTTAATACTGTTTGTAAGTCACTAACTGCACTTACTGCTTGTAGAAAACGAAAGGACACGGAAACTTTTTCTCTCTTACATCTCTATTTCGGATCAATTTCGTCCCTATGTCCCCGACAACACTTCACAATGTTCGCATGTCTGAGATACGCATGTACATACATCGAGTTTCATTGTTTCTCTACCTTATTGGCATATCATGGGGTTGGAATGAAAGGGGGGATGATGAGATTTTCCCAAAATCAGTTTTTATGACATAGTGCTTGATAAGAAGAAACATTTCCTGTGCAATGGCCGTTGTGTTGTGTTCTAGGAGTGACGTCACGAGTCTCATATCAATTGTTGATGTTTGTGCACCAGCCACTGAACCAAACATTATAACATTACTGTAAACTGTAATCGTCTAACTACTAACTAAATTACATGTATGTATGTATGTATGTATGTGTGTATGTGCATTTTTAAATCTTGCTCCGGAACCTTTAAATACAATAAAAAAATCGGAAAAATTGAGTAGCAAAAAAATTTTCTTCCGCGTCCTAAGTTATTGTGCTAACTCGAACGACTGAAGAAAGCCTCCTTCCATGCAGCAGCATGTAGTTGGACAATGAACCTACGAATGAACCTAAAAATCGCGGGTTACTCACGTGAAAATGAGAAAAGCTCTACTAGTTTGTCGTCTTTGTCGCGGCGATGTTGCGCAACCTACTTTACAGTTAAGCTACCTGACATCGCCGCGACCTAGTAGTAGTATAGCTACTCTCAGTATATTCACATGAGTAACCCGCGATTTTTAGTTAATTTAGTATGTCTCACGATAGCAATAATAATAAATAATTAATACACACTTCAGTACAACCTTTCAAAAACGAATAAAGATGGTTGGAACTAGTAACGAAGGATGTGATGCTCACATTGTTTTATATAAGTTTCCGTCGCAGGCTATTAGCTAATGAAGGTCTGTACTAATGTAATTTGTTATTTCAATAATAATGTAACTGTGGATATTTGTAAACTGTCGCGTCGTGCATGCGCATGCGCCGGCTGCCGCTACCGCGCGCGGCGTTATGCATCATCTATGAACTAAGCGAGATATTACCAATTATATTGTTACAGTTGTTATACGACTACTAAACAATGCCTTGATGTCATGTGATTGATATCAGCGCTCGATAGTTTGTTTGTCCTAATACAAATTAATTGGAGTGGCAAATATATATACGTACGAAATAAACAGCTGGCAATTTATCCAGGATCCTTAAACAATTTGTGTCTCCCGAAAATATCGGAGTAAATCACAATGAATAAATTATTATACATATAGTTTTAATAAATTATATAGTTTCAAGCCATGCTAGAGCCAGTAGCAGCGCGACAGTCGCCGCGTCGCGGGTTGCGAAATGCGGCTCATGGATATGAGCCTCTAGCATGCCTTGAAACTAGTCGAGTTCCTCGTCAAATAATTACGTGAGTAATCCGAAAATATAATAATTTATTTAGCATGTCTCACGAAAGTTATAATATCACAATAAATGTTGAACATTCATTATTATTAATCGTATTCAATTTGCTTTGTTGTGAAAGAACAACACTTGTATGAAGACCATCTCGCTTCCTATGCGTATAAAAGTACCATTCATTACAATACATGTTCCATTATTTATTTTTAAAGCTTTTCTGTTTTTCAAACTCATAACAACTATAATACAAGACTATAAACAATCATCGTTTGTAATGTATGGATGGAATTAAATGCACGTGTTCTAGGTATGCATTGAATTGATTTACATTTTATCCGCGGCATCTATCTACAATAGCATTCCTTCATGAACTCTGTTTCATTCAGCATCATTCCATTGTCGCCTGTAGATCCTTGCTATAATATTATAACAAGGATCTACAGGCCGTAACTACTAAACCGATTGCTCTGAATTTTTGCAGATGTATAGTTAGAAATTTGGATTAAATGATAGGGTACTTTTTGACCCGGAAAAAAATTATATTCTCGAGGGAAAACGAAATTATTGGTATAGATGGCGCTGTGTGTATTGGTAAAGCTAGTATAATATAAAGTTATAACCTCGACAATCAACTACCAACATGTTATTGAGATAAAATGACTCATTGAACAGAAGCTCTCCTAAAAACAGTTTGGTTTCCTCGCACCATTAGTTGCCAATTAAATATAGTCGGTTTCTAGTTTTTGTGCTATTACAAAAACATTTGCTCCCTTTTGCTTCTGTTTTTCATTGGTAACAAAACCAATACTGCGCATGTCCGGGTTTGTATGTATTTACAATAACCATGTAATGGTGCGCTATGACAATATTAGTCGCGTGGTGTCGCCAGAGTAGAATTTGTTACCCGAAAGTGTCATAAGAGCGCCCGCGTACAGAAAGGATTCTCAATGTTAAGTTGTACTTAAATATCATGCTATCCCTGTCAATTTATAAGAATTTGTAGTGACAGAACTACCTATACTTAAGTGCGACTTAAAGTTGAGTGGAGTTTGAGTATTTAGACATACACTACACATATTTAATAGAGACCGAGCAGCAGCGTTTTAGGATAATCCTAGTCTTTTAAACTAGCTGTCATCTCCAACCCTATTAGTAGTTTGTTTGCCAAGATAAGAGATCATGGCAAACCCCTCTATAGAGGAGACCATAGCTCAGCAGGAGATTCTCATGAGGTTCCGATGATGAGTGTCAATTAACATGAGACAGACTAGTCTGCAAGCTGGTTTTTTTTTATAGCATAAGCTGGTATTTTTTTAGACGGGGCACCTGATGGTAAGCAATCGGCGCCGACCACGGACACCCGAAACACCAAGGCGTTACAAGTGCGTTACCGGCATTTTGGGGATTGGGAATTTGAGGATTGTGGAGAAGGTGCTATCCTTGTTATAAAGTAGCTGTTGTTTGTACCAGGAGTATTATGGTGCGTGCTGGTGTTGGCGGGGACCTGTTCCGCCAAGTGGCACTGGCCGGAGAGTGAGGCGGCCGCCTCCGTGCGCATCGACACCAAGGTGCGCTTCATTGACTCCGAGCCCGACAAGTGAGTACAGCCTTCTACTTACATTCATACTTTATTTTTCTATGAAACCAGGGCCTAAGGGCCAACGGACTACCTGGTGGTAAGTGATTAGCGACATCCATGGACACTCGTAACCTGGGAGTGCGTTGTCAGCCTTTTAAGAAGAAGTATGCTCATTGGAGCTTTGACGGTCGTGTCGTTGGAAAATCCTTACAAAACACCAGCAAAGTAATACACTGAGATTTCTGTACTCTGCTATACTTCAGGTAGTTGTTGCTTCAGTTTGTTTACATAACTTTACGTGAAGTAAACCTAGTTGCAGTGTGACGACAGGATTGAATCGGAGCCGCAAGCGTAATGAAATGTAGATTGAGTTTCAAATATTTACACTTTGCGCCAATCTTATTACTATTATATAAAGCGGAAGAGTTTGTTTGTTTGAACGCGCTAATCTCCGTAACTACAAGTCTGATTTTAATAATTATTTTTGTGTCGGATAACGCATTTATCGAGGATGGCTAGAGGCTATAAAACATCACGCTACGACCAATAGGAGCTGAGCAGAGCGTGTGAAACCGCGCGGAAGTAGCTAGTGTAAATATATATATTCAAATATTAGGATGTGTAATGTTTGAAAGAACAACGAAATTATTTACTCAATGAATGTTAGTCATTTAAATGAACAGCTACTAAGTTTTTACTTGCCCAATATTAAGCAAGTCTCCAAGTGTGACTCGGCCCCGTTTCCTGATGGTCGCACACTTAGTTAACTTAAGTTAACTATTTAAGTTACGATACCGCCCTACAATGTGAGAAACACAACATCTTCTGTTATATGTATGCATTATATGTATAACACAAATAAATACTTCATTATACGCTATTCATTAGACCCCTTACATCGTAGACATAAGTATAGTTAAAGTGTAAGGTAATACATAAGTAATGCTAGTGTTTACTTGGCCACAGTTGTAGCAACAATCGAGTGTTTACAAAGTAAAGCTCTGCGATGTGTGACCAACACGACTGTATAGCACAAGACGCCTATATTTTAATAGTAGCAATGTATTGCCCAATTGGGTAGTTTCCAGGGTATCAAAATTAAAAATCTAATTAGTCCGTCAGTTAGATAACGAAAAAATATTATACACGTATTTTTTTATTTCCTCGTATTAAGTTGCAATACTTAGATAAAATGGCGCTAAATTTAGGAGGAGTAGGGAGGTTGTTACGTCATAACGTGCGACAAAATGTAGCACGCTGTGGCGTCACACGATATTTCAAATTAATATATCATCGAAAGTATTTAATTTTGTGAGAATAGAAAAAATACGTGTCCAAAGTTTCAAATTAATGTACTAGACGGATATTAAAATAAAATTAAGGTAACTACCCTGTTCTATGCTATCAACAATTAATACGTTTTCATTATGACAGTCGATATTTACGTCTTGAATCATTCTTATGTAAATTCAGCTTCAGCACTTGTATATTTATTAATAACTAATTATCATTTGTAATAACGACCTAGATGACTAACTGGGCAGACAGGACAGTAGCCTTGTAAGTGGTGACTCGCGTGTGGCCTTCGATATTCTGATTGTATCAAAGTTTATATTAAATACGCCTTGTAGGGAAGGATTACCTCCATTAAATACAAATTGTCAATGTCGCGATCTAAATACATAGAAATATAAAAATGCTTATTTGTATATATAAATATATATATATAAATATGCTTATTTGTTACTAAAAATACTAATAATAATAAATATATAACATCGCGCTTTTTATCCTCGGAGGGGTAGGCAGAGGTGCACATTATGCCAATGTATAATGTAACACCCACTTTTCACAATTTATTTTATGAGTCCCATGTATTAGGGTGTGAGCCTATTGCCATATACCGGGCACAATTCCAGACTTCGTGCTACTACTACGATTTTTTTTAAAACCAGTAATACTTTTTTTTTTTCAGGAATCGAACCCAAGACCCCTTGCCCGGCAGTCGCACTTGCTACCACTCGGCCGACGAGGCAGTCAAATATAAATATAATATATAAATATGTTTATTTGTAGAATATTGTTTAAGTTCGGATGTGAGTGGAATATCCTGACCGTATGAAAGTGGTTTATATTGGTTAGTAACAGTAATGATTACGAAAGTCGACGTAGTGCGTAAATTCACTAAAATGATACTTGTTCGCTGTGTAACCTTGGAACACTTCGAGTATAGAGGTAGTGCTACGCGTCCCTTCGCGGCGAAGCTTTGAGGAAACCAATGCTTTAGTGCGCAGTGGTGCAGTAGTGGCCGCGGCCGGCGCGGTGTGGGCGCACTAGCGCCGCCGCACCTTGGCCGACATGCTCCACACAATGGGTCGCACGCCGCAGAATGGCTTGCGTCACTCCGCACGGGTTTCATTTCGCTAATTGACTAGCAATTTCTGTGTAGGACACCGTAATTGCCAATGTGATTACAACAATAATAGCCAACCAGTGGCAATGCAACAGTGACGTCACCAGCTACGCAGCTACCCCCTGCCTGACTGCGTTCGCGCCGCCCGCCCGTGCTACTTGCGTCAAACCTCTGAGATGAACTAGATATAAACAATAGTTTGCTAGAAATAATCAGGCAATTGTATTCATATTACTACGTTAATGTATCCGTTTCATCCTATTATATCTCAATTCTTTAAAATCATGTAATCACAGGATACATATATCACTCACACACATAAAGGTTTCCCCGCGCACACGCAACTACACCTAATTTAGGTTTTACGATAATTATAGTTCTGAGCAAGTATAGACATGCTACAATGATTATATTGATCAAAGCTTAAATACAAAATATGACTCACACAAAATTGCAATGTGACGAAAAACCAATCGCGAAATCTTAAAATGGTTACGTTGTCAGGTGGAATAGTGAACGAGTTGATTGACAATTATAAAGTAGTGTAAGTGAACGGGTCGCGGTGTGGCGTAAGTGTGCTTACACTAACTACATTTGGCAATGGCGATGGATCGATCTCTAGAGTTGCGCAGGTACTGGACTATACCTCTATAATAATACAATGGATTGTTACTCGCTATGTGGAGCAATTAACGATCACAATACTTATTCACGAGCATTTTACCATGTTGCGTTAGCAATTAGGTGTTAAAGTGTTCATGGGAATATTAAAGTAAAGTAAGTCGACAACATCAAAGAGTGCTGCAATTAGTATTGACACTCTGTTGTTATGTTATTTGAAGGTACTTTGGAATTGGATGTCAAAGTGTCGAATGGTTCAGTTATTTGACAATCGCGGAAGGTATTGTCTTGGGAAAGTTTATTATTATTACAAAATAAATAAGCCATAAACATATTACTAAACGTTGATGTGTTCCTGTACAATGGTCCAGTTACGAGAGTTAGTTGTACTAGTCGTTACGTAGTCATTGTAGGCATTGTGTTTGTTTAAGATACTGATATTTGACAAAATGTTTTCAGAGAGGGCGATAAGATAGTTCGCAACGTGCAGTTTGATGATACGTTCAGGCAGCCGGTGGAGACGGACGGGTTCTACAACCGGCCGCCCGGCTCCGGCCGCTACCCGGTGCGGGTGGAGGCGCACCGCGCGCCCTACCGCGTCGACGACAACGGCATCTACAGCGTCAGCATGTGAGCCTACCATTATATTACCAGATACTCTCTCCTAACCTTACGCTACAACAGTTGCACTCATTATTTTACTACATCTGCTCACTACAACCACCAAGAGAATCTTCCATTTCCCTCAAAGATTCAATAACGTGCTCTTCAAGTACACACGCCTTTCTCCAGTAATTTATTTTAACAAACTCCACATTAGCCTAATAATCTAATCTAAGCAGTTACTTACTTTATTTGTCGCTTTTAGCCTAGTAGGCTTGACTGGACGGGAGTTTGAGTCTATACTTTAGTCTTCTTTATAATTTGTTTATTGTCTTGTTACAGTCAGCACAAGAACATGTTATCCGATGGCACGCTCGACTCCCTGCAGTACTGCAAGTGTGTCAGCAACCTTGACTGCCATCCGCGAGCCGACTCCCGGGTAATTTATACTATTTTATAATTTATACTATTAACTTACTTATTACACAAAACGCAGTTCTGTCTACCACATACTGTTACTGACAATTTAATTGACATCATCGTTGGTTACATGGTTTCAGCGTGCTTGCGGAGTCGGGAAGTACCTGTGCTGTTACTCACAAAACAAAAATAAAGTCCATTCAACACACAAAAACCGTAAGTCCGAGCCAAGCTCATGTTGTCACAGTATATTTACATGTTCGGTCGAGCACTAATGAATAAGTTCCGTGCTCTCTTCCACAGAATACTTCAACGAAGTCGAGGACGACCGGCCGATGCTACTGCCGGGACAAGAGAACTTAGCGCGCCCGTTCCCACCCCCGCCTGCCTCCGCACTCAACGGTCTGTTCGGCTCGTTCGGACCTGGACACGGTCACGACTCCTCACACATCGGAGTCTTTGAAAAACCACTTGGAGTGCTCGTAGGTCCCGATGGACCAACGGGAATGGTGGGGCCACAGACCAAACACAAACAAGCTGGAGTTCTTGTTGGACCCAACGGACCAACCGGAATAGTAGGTCCAGTGTCAGACGGATCGCAAAGCGAGACAGCACAGAGCGGAGTCTTAGTTGGTCCCGTCGGACCCTCGGGAATAATGGGTTCGTATGGCCGCCGACCAGTACTTGTGGGACCAGGTGGACCCACAGGAATTATTGGGCCATCCAGAGGCCGCAGCCCAGGCATTCTAGTAGGGCCAGGTGGGCCTACAGGTATCATCGGCCCTGCTTATGGCAGGCAACAAGGAATCCTAACGGGACCAGGCGGCCCCACCGGTTCCATCGGGCCAGGTCGACAAATATTAGTTGGTCCCAGTGGCCCCAGTGGTCATGTTGGACCTCAAGGATACTTCGGTAAATAATCGTGCCATGTGTCGTGTGGTGACTAATAGATGTATGGAACTAACAAGTTATAATGCTGTCGTTGACATATAAGACTGTGGAGTGTAATATGCACCACAACCAGTGTAAGTACATGTAAATAATTAGAGTAAATAATATTGAGTGTGGTCCTGTGACAACCGCGACAAACCCGAGCTGTGCACGTGGCGCTACCAGCTCGCAGTGGGCGCTGCGCCGAGTAGTGAGAGCCGACTGTTGCAGGCTGCCCGCGCAACAAGCGGAAGAACGTCGCGGCGGCCGGCGCGACACGGGAGCCCACCGCGGCCGACGCACAGCCCACACCCCGAGACCATACGAGACACAACCAAGACGACAAGCACACATCATGTTACTGTGACAAATAAACTACACTAGGAAACAATTTCTTTCTTTTTCATTCATTCTATGTTATATCACTTTATGTGGTATAATAAATATGATTATTACTTATTACTGTGTAATAAAATGATATCTCTGTGGGTTACATTGGGAAAATACATTAAAGTTATTAATTTCAATGAAGCGTTTGAACTCTACGGATGAACTACCTGAACTGGCAATAGCAATATAATTATAGCGATATTAACAAGCTGACATTCCACGAGTCAGATGTGTCGAATTTATAACGAAAACTAAGCGAACGTTCACCATAGAACTCGGTATAAAAAATGTGACGGATGGCGGCTGGCAGCGCGCCAGACGCCGGCCGCGGTGCACCTACACTCCATACCAGCCATCATACTGCGATTGTGAAGAATATAAGGGACGCCTAGTACACCCTGCTCAGTGCTCAGAGACCTTTATTGCATGTATGTTGATTCACACTCACTACACTGAGCCTGGCACCCTTTTACTTCTTCATTCTTTTGCATGACGTTTACAAACAGTACGTATTTCTTTTTGCCTACATATACTACATAACAGAATTATAGAAGCCTATATCGCTCTGCAGATTCAGATTTCTGATCTCAGAGTGATCACGAATGTCATACCCCCACCATGCTAACGAAATCGGTAACTTCTCACATAGATAACTTCAAACCGTTCGAATTGGGCCTTCTCTGAGTCCCACTCTGTATGTACGTCATAAATCTGTCGTGTTAATATAATGCTCTAAATCCCGTAAACTAAAATTCTATTGCAAAATCGCGTCGATCGTTAATTCAGACCTAGTTCCAGAGTTAGTAAACTAGCCGTGCCTACATATTCTAATTATATGATAATGTAATCAAGATGAACGGACTTTAATAGTTCCTCCTCATGAACTGCTTTTCCAGCAACATCCGCAGTTTCATTATTCAGTCAGGGACTCACCAATAGTGGTGATGACGATGATAGAGTAGAAGAGCGCGCCTGTGAAGGTCCACTGGATGTGGTCGGTGCTCTCATTGCCGTCCCAGCCACGGACCTTCATCTCCAGCAGGATCGCATTCTCAAAGTCCTGCCAATAACCCAATGATACGATATCAACATTCCATTGCAGACTTGTGAATATAGAAATAAATCAACACTGAAAATCATCAAATCATAAAGCATACGAACACACAAACATTGAGAATATTATTATGTGAGCGTTACTCTGCGCTTCCATCTCACAGTAGCACTACTGGATCAATAGCTTTGAAATAGTTCTCTGTCAGGTGCGCACGAGTGGGTGTTTATTTATTTACGTGTATTTATTCAATATTGCTCATGATCTGCGAGAAGTGTGGAGAGTGTCGTCACAGATTCTGATCTTTATTTTATTCTTTTCATCAAATCTGTGTTCACACAAAAGCGCCACAAATCTAAAAATAAATTATCAACGAAATATTCCGGGAAATATTGATCTAAATTGGGCTGGACAATATTCTGCGAACATTCAGTGTGTAGGTAGGTACGCTATTAAGAGATGGATCTGGTACCTTGAGCATGTCGACGACCTCAGAGGTCCAATTGGTCTGGTTGAAGAGTGGCACGGTGCGAGTCATCGTCCAGATGCTCTGCGTCGTGTTGCTGCGTATCTGAGATATGTTCTGCTTCACCTGCAACATCGAGACAGACGTCATAAGTACAGCTACATTAACTATTATCATAGTAGGTGCATGCTTAATTAGTTAAATAAAGCTCATATCAGGTGGTGTGCGCTTTATTAACCTCAAATTAATTTTGATGATCTTTGGTCTACTAAATAGATACTGAGTCACATATGTCATATTTCATACTGTGGGCTGAATAATTACAACAATCTCGATAGACATAACGACATCCATTACATTACACAGTTCAATGAAAATGGAAATTCACAGTAGAAGACAGACATACCTACACAGATATTTGTAAACATTCAAACTAGCGATGAATATCACTAAGCAGATGGTGGTGAATGACACACGTGGACTAGGAACATATAGTACTAATGTACGATTCACATAAATTGGTTCAAGAAGACACTAATTGTCTAACTAATCATTCTGATCTCTAGTTCTGGGTGAAGGACCGTCTAGCGGCTGTTCATAATGGTTGCTTCTAAGAACATTCTAATTTAATGCCCATTTTATGACGTTTGTTTAATTAGTGACGTGGGCGACCTAGCCACGTGTACCCAATCCGACGAGTATTTACAAATTTTTGTACTGACTCACACATCAAGGGTGGGCAAGGAGTTGGAAGCTCATTGAAGTCGCCTCGGCTATCATCTTGTATCAGCCCAGACAGGTTCAGTGGAACGAACAGGTTGCTGTCGTACAGAGCAACGTTTCATGTTTTTGTAAAAAGTCCTGCTCAGACAGCTGCTGTGTGCTCTCTGCCCAGTCGCCGTCAGAATCGTTAATCAGCTGGGTTTGATGGCTGCGTGGCACCGTGCCACCGCTTGATGAAACAAGATTGATAGCGCTCCATGTGCCGTGCAAATAACTTCTTTTATAAAATTAAGTAGTTGTTGTCCAACAACTGTCGTAGAAGAGTATGATGTTTGAAGACAGTAATAAGAGTACAAGGTCTCTTCATAATGAGGAGAACATCAGTTCAACGTCATCTGTCTGTAGTGCATCTACAGATAGATGCTTCGTAAATCCGATAGACTGGTATATTGAATCGGTCGAGATTTAATGTCTAAACTATTCAATATCAGTACATATTGGCAACGATTGAATTCTCAGCTACACAATACAAAGATATTCTACCTTCATTAAACCATGGTCTCAATTTAATTCTTGACTGTTTATTTATATGTAGTAAAGTAAGTATGTATTATACGTATGAGTGTGTGTGTGCACCTCTCTTTCGTGCTGGGCTTCCAGTTTCTCGAAGGTGACGGCTCCCAGGATGCAGTAGGCCACCACCAGGCTGATCATCACGAAGTGGGAGAACACCACCGAACATAGCTTCCATGTGTAGTACAACACCTGGCGATAGATGGAACCAAGTAACTATATATATAATATAACTAAAATTACAACAATACTACTTACTAAATAATCAGACATACACAAAATGCATACTTGGAACTAATTCTTATAGAAGTTATAAGAAGAATTTATATGGTTTGTTGCTCTGCCAGTTGAGTTAGTCCCTGGTAATATCGTATACTTGTAACATTCAATACAAAATGAAACCTTTATGGTCGTAATTTATTGTTTAGTTGCGGTCACTTTGTGGTATTTACTACAAATATTTACGAAGCCGAGCATTACATAAGTAATGTACAATGTACACAAACAGTAAATAGTGGCACGCGCCAGCGCCGGCGCCGCGTACATTGAATTAATGTGTCAAAACAAGAGATTAGTGGGCGCACGACGCACGCGCACCGTCGCCGTGCTACACTCGCGCGTTGCTAACTACACTTCAATAGGAGTCATTTACTCAACGGAGAGTATGCGACAGGTTTGGCGCTACACTATATCGGATAACTCAGGAAATGAAAGTGTAAAACGGTCCTTAGCAGTTCTCTACTACTAGTCTACTAAGGAGTCTATTACAATATGTATAGGTAAAATAATTACATTTTTCTAACGATTATTACTTGTATCTTGCATAGGGAGCGATGGTCTGTTACCATACATTAGGTAATATTTTATATTCTGTATTGACACGAGCCGGGATCGACTTGTAGTAGGGGAGCCCATGATGCTAAATTGGGATTTACTTGAGCGTCCTTGGGACCTACTGGATTTTGAAGATATGCTGATAGAAAGAAGAAATGGTTTAGTGACAATTTCTTCCACCAGTGGGGGAAGGGGGAATCTACAGATCTTTGAAATTGTTAAGCGTAACTTTTGTTCTAGTGGTCGAGCGTGTCAGATATTGATAATGTACATGCTCCATGTGTATTTAATAATAAAAAACTCTTAATCTGCCAGTTTGCATGGTGGGGTTGAATGTTCTGGAGAGTACAAACGAGAACCCTTCAAAATCCCCCCACTCTTGCAAATCAAGTTGGAATGGGCAGATTTTTTAAACGCACTTCCTTTAGCACGGTATTGACCTACCTTCCCTTAATCTGACGAAACTGACTTTATTTAGTCAGACTTTTTTTTTAATTTTCAGTCCCCCCCTTCTAATCAGATCGGATATATGTTGGGTATATTCAACGTGACACTAGGTTTTCCCCATATGTTAATCTGACGCGCTCGAGTAACTACCGAAATCCCTTCATGGGCTCCCCTACTATTGCTACGACTACTACGACGATTGCTACGACAGTCTTGTAGAGGCAACATGTGGTTTCAAAAACATTTATAATAATTAAATAAATGTACAGAGTTCAATATACAACTTATTAGAGATAAGATGTGACAAAAGCGTAAATACCTACTTTCTGTAGCCGCGACTTGCTGCTACGCCGCCTACGAGCCCTACGGCGAATGTTACGGTTGCAACTCCGATAATTTCGATAGAAGATTAATCAATTTATTTACCTGTACTATTTTTTTAAGGGGGGAAAATCATCGAATGACTGCTCCCGTCTGAGTGAGGCGAGAGGGAGTTTCAGACTCTTACTGACTAAAAACCACCCCGTTCCTTCTCCTGCACTTTGAGTCGGAGTCCCGGTTACCTATTAGGTTCTCCGCAACTCCGAATCGGCATCGGCCCTGATGGGCCCCATCCGTGGTGGTTTGATGGCTCTTTGAAGCGCGCGCGGAACGCGACGCGCCTTACGCTCGGGTCTGTTTCTGGTCGAGCTCGGGTCTGTTTTTGGTTGGGTTCGGGTCTTTTTCTGATCGGGTTTACCTCTAGTACAGTCTGTAGAAAGCAGCTCATTGATTAACAATTACTTAATCATAAAGTTGCGTATAATAAATACACAGGTGATGTAGATACTAAGTACGTAATACTTTGTGGGACATGTAAATTAAAATGCATCTGAGCCATTCCATGATTGACATAAAAGTTGTTGTCCCTAAGAATTATTAGGAATGGAATGAGTAGCTTACTTTGGCACACTTGCTGGGCGGCGGTAGCGGGTACTCCCCGCGCTCCACGCGGCCCTCCCGGCGCGACATGCTGCCGTCGAGGGTAGCTCACCAGCACACAGTCTCCATCTCCACTACACCACCACACCACCGACACTGGCCACACACCGACACTCACTGCTCTAACCACATAAATCCCGGTGTTTACGCAGCAGCTCACTCCTGACGCTGATGCGAATAACAGATCAAACGGCGTTGATCCCACAATACAGTTAATTTATACTGGAGCAATAAATTTCCCATAGAGCGCGTTATGATAGTAGTGGCGCGGTATGGAGCGGGCAGGGAGCGGGCCGGCCGCTGGAACACTGGCGGATATATCGGGAGCCGCGAGTAGCACGACTGCCGACCGCGGCCCGAATCCGCGACCGCCCGGTTTACGATCAAAACCACCGGTTATTTGGGTCGTTGTGCATAAACTCTCATTCACAAGCCGACTCGTAACACCCACGTGTACCTACCTGTACTATGATCTGTATGACGACTGCGCCATTGTGAAATTATAAAGTTGTCTGCTCGGGGCACGGTAGCTAGGCTATCTGCGACTATACAACGTATCAAGGACAGGATTCCCTTATGGACCACATCTTTATGTCTTTCGAAGGCTGGGCGTGATGTTGAATTGTGTAGGTTTTTAGATTTTTAACACTCGTCTATGAAATATTTAGAACGGGGTATAAGCTTTATCCTAGATGCATTATGTACTCTTTCTAAGATCAAGAATTATTAATTTTTTATTTTTCTTCATAAAATCGAGGAATTCAAACTGTAAGATTTGTCTCGAAATAGACACGTTACATCAATGTCTGGTTATGAAAAATGAAGCACGCAATGACAGCCCGTCTCCTGCCGGCGTTTCACGGAGATATCAGATAATTGACAACTGTAGCGAATTGTAGTGACAGATTTAAGAGAGTGACACAACTACCCACACTACGAATTATGTTGTTGTTGCCATGAGTACAATGGGTCATTCACTTTGTTACACAATTGGGTAGTTTCCAGGGTATCAAAATTAAAAATTTAATTAGTCCGTCAGTTAGAGAATGAAAAAATATTAGACACGTATTTTTTTATTTCCTCGTATTAAATTGCAATACTTAGATAAAATGGCGCTAAGTTTAGGAGGAGTAGGGAGGTTGTTACGTCATAACGTGCGACAAAATGTAGCACGCTGTGACGTCACACGATATTTCAAATTAATATATCATCGAAAGTATTTAATTTTGTGAGAAATGAAAAAATACGTGTCTAAAGTTTTAAATTAATGTACTAGACGGACATTAAAATAAATTTTAGGAAACTACCCTATTTTGTTGGTAATGTTATAAATTCCATAAAATAAGAGTCTAAACATTAAACTATATCGATCCCACGACAATCGAAAACTGAGAATCTCATTAGCCAATAAAACTTCACCTTCGGAAATTAAACCCTCCGAAGTCTACTCGCTCAACAACTGAGGCCTTAGTACGAGTTTGAGTAGTACGTTTAAAGTATTCGAAACGAGTACGCGTTCGGCAATCTGATTAGCCGGCGCCAATGAATCAACCGTGGCCGAGTGGTCGCAAGTGCGACTGCCGGGCAAGGGGTCTCGGGTTCGATTCCCGGGTCGGGCAAAGTATTACTGGGTTTCTAATAAATTCTCAGTAGAAGCACGGAGTCTGGAATTGTGCCCGGTATATTTATGGCAATAGGCTCACCCCTTTATTACATGGGCCTCATAACATAAACAGTGCTAAGTGGGTGTTACATTGTAGTGGCATAATGTGCACCTCTGCCTATCCCTTTGAGGATAAAAGGCGTGATGTTATGTTATATTATACACAAGTACCCCGTCATAAGTTAAGTAAAGAAAACACATAATAAGTAGAAACTACGTCGTCGCTTTATTTACAAAAAAAAAACAATATATTAAATATCACATGCTCCATGTATGGCTCCTGTCTGTCTGTCTGTATACCTATGTAAATATTGTGTCAATAAATATAACCTCCTTCAACAACATTGTTCTATGAACTACTATTATACTACTATACTATAATTCGTTTGTCATATAGCTACTAATAGATACATTATACATTTACTTTGTTCATACTATGTACAATGAACACGTAACGATTACTTAATAGTTAACGTTACACAAACAGATTTACATTCCTACAAATAACATCTAGTTATTTCTTACTTAATTTCATTACGAAATATCAATCAATCGTTAAACATTGTTCATCTTCTATTTAAAGTACTGAATAAATAGGTAAATTATTACTAAATAAATAAAGATAGTTTCTTGCTGTTAGGCTCGGGTGATGTAGTAACGTTAGGTACTACCGCTAATACTCTGATCTATACCTCTACCATTAACTTAAAGCAATTAGCAAGTACGTTGAAGAAGCTGGACATAATATCATTTAGGAATGATTGAAGCACCAGAATGTCAGTGGTTTTTAAGCGTGTGTGTGTAACCACGTTACCAGACGAAAAGGACAGATGTCCTTCGTCTCAATGTGTGTATATTCTGCGTGTAAGTGTATAGTAGCCAGGTGCCTCAGTCGTACAAATACATTACATACATGTACAATTTGAAAAATTCATACAAACGTTGTTATTATCGAGTATCAATTAAATACTATTACTTTAAATGCGTGGTAGTGGTCTAGAGGTACCTACTGAGGAACATACAAATAATTAGTCGTTTTACATTCTTCACTTCATAGTGTAGTACAATGACATTAAATGCATTACCACTCGCGACATCTAGCGGCTGTGTTGGCGAAGTAGTACAGCTACAATAACTTACAGTTCAACTATGTATAAAATGGTTGTGTTTTATATGTGACTACTGTATGGAGGCACGTACTCTGTAAAATTATCACATAAAATATTTATAAATACACTCGCGCGTGGTGTCGCTAGTGGCCCTATGTTAGGTATAAAGTTATCTTCTGCACACGTATTTACAGTAAATAGAATAATTTAACTTGCTCCATAGTTACAAGCTGCTCACGTATCGACTACAGTAAACTTATTACCATGAAACTTGACGTTCATGATACTCATTAAATAGTTCGGTAGGTTCGGATATTGTAATTTTCAAAATGTTCGTCTGAAGTATTTTAATTCATATTATGGCGACAGAAATGTACAATGCTCGTTAGGACCGAGGCGTGTCATGTACGTGTGGTCAAGGTCTGGTGGTCATCTGGTGTTGTTCCTTGGGCGGCAGCGGCTCTGGTTTGCGGGAGATGAGCTCGGCCTCGCGGATGGTGTCCGGGAGCCGTGTGTTCAGCGTCTCCGGCGTGGTCAGCATGAGCGCGCCCGCCACCAGCGCCGCCGCGCCGAACAGCACCGACGGCAGCCACTCCACGTAGATCGCCTGTTCCAATCAACTCGTTAACACTTACACTTCAATAAATACTAGCTTGTACTTCGGCTTTACTCGCTTTATAAAATGTAGCCTCTATGTTATTTCATAATCGCCTCTTGTTCCAAATTTCACCCTAACTAACCCCTTCAACCGTATTGATGTGATTGACAAACAACCTCGTGCATATAACATTCAGCAAGACGGATGGATCACCTGATGGTAAGTAATCGGCTTCGCTCATAGAACCTGGGACACCAGAGGCGTTACAAGTGCATTACCGGCATTTTGGGGATTAGGAGTTCAGGGATGGCATGGAGAGATTGGGTAAGGGAGGGGGGGGGTCAGGCCTCCGGTTTCCTCACTCACACGACGAAACACAACGGAAGCGTTGCTTTACGTTGATTTTCTAATTTTCTATGAGTCGTGGTATCACTCCGGTCGAGCCGGCCCATTCGTGCCGAAGCATAGCTCTCCCACACTTAACCACGTAATATGACTCACTTCTCAGAATACGCCAAAATGTTAGAATATTTAAAATTATGCTCAAAGTATAAAAAAACTTCCTGCTAATGTAACAATAATCGGCAAAAACGGTAATAGCTAAATTATAATGTAGCAAATTATATCCTGTGAGAATGTTGCAAGTAAGCTATTGTATTGAGTACCCCAGATCATAGCTCGTAGGCGTGTGCAGTTACCGTGGGAACTTGAACGGCACGACTTACATATTATTATAGTAGGTCTGTTGTCAATTCACGGCGTGTACCGTGTCTATTCCCAAAATAAAACCTATGTTTAGAATAGACCTAGATATACTGACCAGCAGCGGCATCTGTGGCGCAACAATGGATCCTATCCTGCCGACCATGGAGCAGAAGCCGAGCAGCGAGTGTCGCGCATGCGTGGGGAACAGCTCCGACGTGTACATGTAGACCCCGCTGAAGGCCTGCGTGATGGCCACCTTGCCCAGCAGGTACAGTAGCGTCGCCAGCCACGCCATCGCTGAAACACAACGCGCTAATATTGAGACACATCACTTCAAATTACCTGTTGGTACCTACTTACTATTTTGTAGGTCGTAGATTATAAAAGTAGCTCAATTGATTAAGTGGTAATGTAATGTAGTAATTGCCATAACGTCACTTCCTCTCTATTGTAATAGCGACCCGTGGGTAGAGTTTGTTTAGAAAGTGGAGATCGTCTAATGGACATTTTATATCTCATAGCTATAGTTTTAATTCCTTACTTTTGGGTACAAAAGGTATAGCGACGCAGGCTATCCCGCAGACGGTGTACGCGCTGAGTAGAGTGCGCTTCCTCCCGATGCGGTCGAGCACGAGCGCGTTGGTGACGACGGCGATGACCTCGACGCTGACCACCAGCATGTAGTTGGTGTACTTGTCGCCCGCCAGCGACACCGAGTTGATGGCCAGCCCGTAGAACACGAACGTGCACGTGATCCACCACCACGAGCAGATGGCCAGCCGAGTCATGATGATCGGCGAGTGGAACACTTGTATCCACAACCCTTCCTCAGGTTTCTCATCTTTCTTCTCCACCGGCTTCACTTTCTCCTCGGTCAGCTGCTTCATTGTCTCGTCTGACAGAGTTACTTTGTTCATTTTCGCGGCATTCATTATAATTTCTACAGCTTCTTCTTTCCTTCCTTTTGATAGCAACCACCTGATGCTCTCCGGCAACAAGTATATGTACAGAATGAATAGCAGAGACGGAGGGTACGCTACGAGGATGAATGTACGCCAGTACTGGAAGGCTTTAGCAAGGAGAGCAAAAGCCAGTCCGCCCAGCACCAGCATGATGCCTAGGAAGGCGGTGGTGAGCACTCGTTTGTCCTGGCCGAGTAACTCGATCGCTGGAAGTAACAAAATGTACAATGTTAAACTATTATAATACATAAGCCACGGTATAATCAAAAACGTGTCGTGCAGTGACTTACTCAAGATGTACGCGGCGGGGAACACGCTGGCCCCAGCGATGGTCTCCAGCAGTTCCACCGTGATGTACATCTCGTACGAGATGGAGAATGCCTTCAAGGAGCCGATGGCTCCCACCAGCGTGCTGCTCAATATCAAGGCCCGCTTTCTGCCCCATCTGTAAACACAATGTGTAATTTTAAATGTTTAACCTTCTACAAATTAAATAGTGGAAACACTATTTTTTTCGTAAAACTGGCTAAAGTTGTTTAGATGTGAACATAGATCTCTATCAGAAATAATTAAATAAAATGATATTAATTTACTGAAAAAAGTAGGCAGTAATTAATTTCACATTATACGCCTGAAACGATGCGCATGCTAGCTACAGCACATGAACGTGACTGGAAGTCCAAGTAGTTACGACGTTACTAATATAATATAATATACCGGTTGTTACTTACATGTCATGAATCAGTTATGTTATAACATAACATAACATTATGGGTTTTGTTTAGCAAAGGTTCAGATAACAAACTTTTATAATTGTGATAGGGGATGAACATATTATCATAGAAGTAGAACAATAATTCTTGCGTTTGCTATGATTTAGGGATATAATTACATACCGGTCAGAAATATAACCGAAGATAGGCAGCGAAATCAACATGCCGATGTTGTGCACCGTGCCCACCAGGGTGCGCTTCCACTCTTGACAGGCCAAATTGAACTGAAAATAAAAAATACTGTTTAATAACAATTGTCAGTAAACTTTTCCCCATAGCCACATGCTATAAGCATGAAATTTTTTTAACCGACTTCAAAAAGAAAACGTGTGTTCTCAGTTTAACCTGCATGTATGTATGTTTGTGCGCGATCATGTTGCGATCGACTGAACTAATTTTGATGTGGTTTTTAGAAAAGTGTTTGTTACACTTAGGAGACGGTAATAATATAATTATGTACTAATTAACCGACTTCAAAAAACAGGGTGTTGAAAGTTGTTTTTTAAACGTAGTTTTCGAAAGAATTATTGACGATACATAAGTATATGAGTAGGTACCATCTTTTTTATTGTGCACTTGTATTCATGATCGGAGTGATCAGTGAGGCTGTGTGCCTCTGTCAAGGGCGGCGCAGTGAGCCGCGACTGCTCGCATTTGCCGAACTATCAGAGCGCGATCAGCTCCAGTCAGTGCGCAGTCTAGCGAACAGTCCCCAATAGCCGTGACTAATGCTCGTGTAGCCATGAATTACCATCACATACCATGCCATCATGAGATGATGAGGTACCAGATATCATCATTTTTTCCTAGAATTATCATCATATTTTTTATAATTGCAGTTCTCGGTGCATTGTGTAAGTAAACAAACGTTTATAATGACCTGCTGAGCTGCACGTTATATTACGTAGGCACTTATTTGTCGTCTTATGGTCAGAAATGACTGTATTTCATTTGACAACAATCCGAATTTCCGAACCGCCACAAAACAAAGGTATATGCTAACAATATACGTATATTCGGTGGCGCTGTTATTGCAATGTTAGGTGAAGAATGTTAATTGAAGCTCTAGGAGTGCTTGGTAGTGACTCTTGACTAGTAAGTGCCTATCACTTGAGTGGTACTGTAAAGGTTGCTGCAGGACGTCAAGCGGAAAGTCGCGCCGGGCGTAGAGTGTGTATGTGCGAGTTGTATGCGAATGTTTGTCAAAAGTTTCCGAGTAGAATGCTGAAGTGTTCGACCTCGGGCGAAGATATCACTGCTGGCCTACTTTACAATGCCAATACTTGAATGTACTACGTAATGAGATAAATATTTTATTTCTCGAGACTGGGTCAGGTTCACGACTTGTTTTATTACTACTAAACATATACTAATTCTAACTTATAAAGTCGCTGCTAACAGCTAGCTCTGTCTGCATAATGTACGGTACCTATTACTGAAGCCTTCGTGGCGTATTACTGAATTAATCGTAGTTTCGATCAATCCGAAACTGTAAATTACAGCGTACATCTTATTTAATGAACGATGGGTGCTTGTCTGAGAACAATCACACAATTATGTACAAGACGCGCTGTATTTATGCAAATGATGCCATTATCCAAGTTGAAGCAACTGGCAGAACTGCACACGCGACTGTTGTCGCCACAGAAATATACAATCTTTGGTATGGTTATCACCGTTCATCTTCTTTACAAAAGAAGCACTATAAATCTGTTTTCAATCTTTCGAGGATGTCACCGTTGCTGCTCATTCTGTCGTCAATGTGTATGTGTTGAAAGTTGTTACTCTTTGACGATGCCGCTTATAGGGTGGATGTTCCACGTCCTCGTGGATATAAGTTAGGCAGCAGCTCCTCAATACTCTAGTCTATTATACGAACGAACGAACTATCTTCTTGACCTATGCACTGTGTTTGTATGCGATAGCAGGAATAAAATACGATGAAGTGTAAGTACGAATAGGCAATATGTGTGGTGATTAAAATGATATATGTTTGGTGTAAGTACGTGTCCGGGCGGCGCTCGCTCTCCTTTGTGTTGTTATCAGAGCATGCGCCGGCGACTCTCACACAAACACACCACTGTCTCTCAGTAGCGATACCAAACACTATTCGAACGTGTGGTAGCGATGTGTACACTGTGTAATTGTGTGTATACTGTGTAACTTGCATGTGTTATTGTCTTCCGACTATCTTCCTACATGTCGATATTAATATTCTCAGCTGTACTGCGATAACACAGAGACAAACGCTCGTACTTGGAAGAGGTCGACAATGTGCCAAACATTTGACACTTGTTAGTTACACTCGGCGTGTTCAGTCGTTAGCTGAATCCCAATGAGTTTAGGTATAATATCTAATGTTTCCCTATTTTTTCTGTGGTATACTTTACTACAAATGATGTTGATTATATTTTGTGCACGAGTGTAATGCTCGACTTCCGGCGAGACGAGCGCGGCGCGTGTTGTTTGTGCCACAAAGTCACAACGCCAACTTGATGTCTTCTATAATGAGATGACCCTCGAGACAACACTATGTACACATTTTTCGTTTTATTATTAATCCTAATTGAGGAAGGAGTGACATGTACTTATAGGGTGTTAAGAGGTCTTAAAATGGGATAATCAAATACGGAGCGGTTGGCAAATATAAGTAGTGAATTACCTCTGATACTATGGTATTGTTGGCCTGATACAGCCAATGGTCGCAGGTGGTGACCTCGTGTGCGAAAGCGGTACCCTCCTGGCAGGGCAGCTGTGGGTCGAGCGGCGCGCGGCGGGAGCAGCGTGACTCGATGTTCCCCGGGGGCAGCGCCGCCGCCAGCCAGCCCGGCGAGTACTCGCTGCTGTTCGACGCCTCGCACTCCGGGACCACGCACCTGCACAACACAATAATACACTGCTTAAAACTAACTAATAAACCATAGTAACAAATAACTGGTTATTAAATTTATTTTGAATGTTTGTAGAGAGTCGAAACATTGATAAGTTACAAATATTAGTTCTGAATCTGGATTTAAAAATAATTATAACACACAATACATATAAACCGCCATAAACACTTCTGAATCTCATCATAGCTGAAAGGATTGTCAAGAATTAAACAATAGAACAGTAAATTATTATTAAACATCAGCACCATTTTAGTGACATTGAAAAAAGTAGTGGAGATCTGAAAATAGGCAAACGTTCACGCAGCCTTCGCGTCATATTTCTGACTAGCTATGGGAGTAGCCGGTCGGTACGGTGAAGCCGCCCGGGAGGCGCGCGGCTTCACCCACTCTGTCTGGCTCCTAATGATCGTAGTGTGATGTTTTAAAAAGTAAGTACAAGAGTAAAATATATACGAGTAGGTAAATACACGGAGGTACAGAACAATAAATTACTCGTATCTAAGACAACAAGCTGTTAATGTTGATTAGAATCCTGCAGTTATTAGATGTACTTACTTACAGTGACTACATACCTATTTAGCTGAATGTATTGTAGTCAGCTATAATGGCTTCCGCCGGTCTTGTACCGACTCGGCTCAGAAACAATAGATCCTTAAGACAGCTGTACACGGACACATGGTGCCCACCACGACGTAGCACATTTAATTGTATATCTGTGCTCACCGACAAGCCATTAAACAATGTTCAATGAGACGTTACTCATCTATCATGTGAGCCAGCTATCGAATATCGTTGGACTAGTTCGACCTGTGTAAGTAGCTGCAGACTGGTACAAAGCATATTAACTTTCTATAAAACAGATGGTTTTAACTACAGAGGATCATTACTGCAGGTTTTGTTTCAGGATCACATAGTAGGTAGTATCTATACTTCGGTAGTGCTGATATCGACACGGAGCCGCGGAAGGCCTAACGGGTTGCCGGCGCTCCGGCTGTAAGTGCAGGAACGGGGAGGTTTTTAGTCAGTAAGAGTGTGACACTCCCTCCCGCCTAACCTAGGGCGGGAGAAGTCATAGGATCATTTTCCCCCTCAAAATACAAATAGAGTATCTACCTCTATACTTATGGCCATTTTCACAGACCATTCCTAAACCATCTCTTAAGTAAGTGTGACTTAGCATGTGGGAGCATCTAACTTAACCCCTTACTTTTACCTATAGGTGTCACATGCAAGTGATTAAAATCCATAAGGTCGGTAAGTATCACCAATCTTCGTTTAGGAGTTCCTTTTTTAATTTAGAGAGGTTGACTTTGGTGAATACCATGTGAAAACAGACATTATTGTTGTGTAATAATAATAAACTATGTCAGAATTTACGCCTACCTTATATTACATTAACATAACATAACATACCATCACGCCTTTTACCCCCGAAGGGGTAAGCAGAGGTGCATATTTCGACACTTAATGCCAATGTACAATGTAACACCCACTTTTCACTATTTACGTTATGAGTCCCATGTAATACCCCTATTAGTGAGCCTATTGTCTATACCGGGCGCATTTCAAGACTCCATGCTACTATTGAGATTTTAAAAAACCCAGTAATACTTTGCCCTACCCGGGAATCGAACCCGAGACCCCTTGCCCGGCAGTCGCACTTGCGACCACTCGGCCAACGAGTCAGTCGGTCAGAGACATTACATTACTTTACTCTTATCTATCATATCTATGGGTTTGCCACATATTCATGTAGGTAGTAACTTAGTACATAGGTAGCACAGGTCAAGGCCATGTCCATAAACAGTGACCTCCTATAAACAACACACAATTCCCATTCTAGACAATCTCCATACCTCCTAATGTTCCCGGAAAACTATTTCACAAATTCACTAGTATATGATAATTATGTTGAAGATACCATCATACGTTATGTTTATGAAGGTTGACACGACAGTAACCTACGTTATATCATAGACGAATTACTTCGTTTAAAATTTTCCAGGAGTAATAGGCAAGTATGGAGCTTCTTGCAAATAGCTTCATTTTTAAATGTATTGTTGATGTTCAAAATTCCCTGGTCGAATTGAAATAAATGAATTTGACTTTTGCTTTAATCAGGTACCTAATTTTACGATGTGGTGACTACTAAATGTTCGCGTTCGTAATCCTACAATATACCGAGGCTTTGAACTCGTTGAACTCGAACTTTCTCGGCCAATATAAACTGCCACAATCTTAAGGACTGACAGTTTTCCGGTTGTAACTGATATAAATAACAAACACAATTATAAAGACATAGTAGCGAGCGACCCCAACCTACTTAGGAAAGGAGAAAAAGAAAACATAAATATTATTATTGAATTCAATTGCAATATTAAAAAATGTTTTTTCCTCCTTCACTGCTGCAAATGCTTGCAGTGTTACCATGTGAGAGAACTAGTACTACAAATGGAAATTTGATGCATTGAAAGCACATCTTTATTTAGTCCTACGGAGAATACGAGGTGATATTTATGATCTATCTATATGAATATGACACAAAAGAATACAAGCATTAGGTTCACCAATGTAACAAAACAACACGCGGTCAGTCAGCACGTACCGGCCACAGAATTAATTGTACCTTGTCTCTATCTGACAGTTCAGACGATAGTTTATAATGTTGCAGCACGTTTTGATACAAATTGACCAGATTGTAGAACCAGTTGCTTACAGTAAACATAAGTCATTACTTATTATTAGCATATTAATTGACTGATTGTCAGTGGATCGTCTCGGCACAACACGAATTTCTACAGTGATCATCGGCATCATATTAGCTAGTTTTTTGTTATTTTTTGTCCATACACACCGAGTGAATCGCCGGCAAGTGGTATTGGCCAACCTGATATAATAGTAATATTTAATGATGTATACGAAGGAATTAAAGAAGTTAAATGAAGAAACTTAGGTGTGTGGATTATATTCTGGTGCCTTAAATAAAGAAATATTAAAAGGTGATAATTTAAAGAAAAAACTAATAAACCTGGTCTCCTCTATCACCTACAGTTATCCAACAATATGGAAATAGGTACACGACGTAAAAATCAAGATGAAATTCTGCCAAAGTAATACGGAATAGAGCATTACTTTAAGGAAACTATAAAAATGCCACACGATATCATACGGGAAAAGGCTCAAATTATAAATGTACTTATCTCACAGAAATTCAAATGGCGGTGGTCGGGCGTAAGTAGGGTAACTTGTTGAAATAACAACATTATAAAAATAGATAGCCGTAAAAACTGGAAGACAATTACCAAAGATAAAGACAAATGGAAAAGTGTGGAGGATACCTTCATCCTAACATAAGAGGGGTGCATGCCACCATGGGAATTATTATTATTAATTTCACTTTATAGGTAGATGTTATTTGATTGGATTTTAATTATTACAACTGTACTATGTAAATGTTATAAATGTAATTAAATCAGTAATTAAATTCAGATTATGATGATTCCCATAAATTTTATAATAAGTAACAATTAACAAGAAACATAAATAAATAAAGGAACCATTCTTTGTTATATTGTTTTATCATTGTTCTTAAGATTTTATAAGTTATCTTTTGGCAGCGATTTTGCAATAAAAAAGGCTTTTATTTTATTTTATTTTATTTATTTAATGATTTATTGTTATATTGCTATCATAATTAATAATATCTAGTCTTTAAACAATAAGTCCTTTAATTCTGCTATAAAATTTATATTACAGCATAAATATACCTATTGCGGGCCCTTCCTGGTGGCCATAAATAGTGAGAGAGGTGAGCTGGCTCCTACCGGTTGTATGCCCACGGACGACATGAGGAAAATTAGAATCGCAACTGACGCACGCGACACATTCACATGCACCAAGCCGCAGACGGAGTTACGCATTTCGTTCACTACTAATTTCTAAATTAAAAAATCCCAAAATATTAGAGGCAGGCAACAGTTTATGTTCTTTATCCTTATAAATTGCAAGAAACTGTAGAAAATAAGTATGTATTGTTAAGAACAGCGTGTCTAATAATCCTATACATGGAAGGACAATATATTTGGTAACGCACGTAGAAGAGTTGTTGGCTTGGCATGCTACTTACATATGTTTCAAGCCGCGTTAATCTAATTTGATGCTTCAAGTTGCCGAGCACAACTCGCAGTTGATTTACACATTGTCTAAAATTTTGGGTAAACCTGAGCTCGCGCCTCGAGGACCCCGGCCGGAGCTATTCAGCACAAAACCGTTTTTGCGTTACTAATTATTCTTTCAAATGCTACATACAATACAGCCGCTCAATGAATAATGTCCATTATTTGGAAAAGTACCAAAAAATTGTTTATACGCAGTACAGTGGACTGAAGAAGACAAAAACATATTTTGCTTTACAAAAAAATACCACAAAACTAATTAAAATGTTCTGCTTTTTTGTTGAAGTCTTGAGAATGTACGATATTAAGCACCTGATTCAGTTCTAACTATTCATTATAATTATGAATGGTACGTGGCAGTGCCTTGCCCTCTTACGGTTGCGGACAAATAGCAGAATAATCTTTTGATTCACGAATACATAAAACGCGTTTTTGTATATCATTAACAGCTGTAGCGACCGTCGTCCGCACTCCTGTAGCGAACACATCGAAGGTCCGCCATGTGCACGTGCACATCTCACGACTTTTTGCAACACTCGTGTTTCTCAGCGAATCGCCTGCAAAAACTTCGTGTATAATGAACTTCCGCAGCCATTTATGACCTATAATTAAGATAAGACTAGTTTTCAAAAGAATCCGTTAATGAGCGAAAAAAGAAAAATATTTAATAAATAAAATTTTTAACAATTATCGTCTGACTGTTGACTAGAATCGTTTACATTTTTAATAACTGACAAACGTATAGCTATTATACTAGAACGAAAACAGCTGATGTAATTAAATAAGCATTTTGTTTGACAACAGTGACGAGCCAACGGATGCTCGGAGAGAAATCAAAGACATTACAAGTAGCAATAGACAGTGCACGTACAAGACGATACTATTGCAATACTCGAGTAAACTGTTAGAGTAGCACGAGACGCTGTGGATGCGCGTGCGCACACGTGACATTGATCAGTGAATGCAAAACAATGTGTATTGAGGCCTCGGCAGGTCAACGTACAGCCAGTTAGGCCGTCTTAACGAAGCGCATCCGCGGCCACTTCATTCAAGAGCGACTCGGAGAGCACAAGTTGTGTAACACCGGCGCCGGCGCTTCCAACCGTGCCTCCCAGCCCACCGTACCCGGCGACTGCTCAGTTATCAGTCCACCTCATACCAGCCTCATGCTCCATTTGTTTATTTAATTAAATAACATCTCTTGTGCAAATGATCATGATCAGTCTGCCACCTCGATGTCGGTCAAAAAGACACGATTGAATTCCCCGACTGTCTTACTAAACGAGCATTTATTTATTTTAAGAGTGCACACAATACATCGCTTAAAACTGAGCACTGGGGGAACAATAGCCATCTAATTCGTAGCAGTACTAAATACAAGGGTGCTCAACTTAGTTACAGTCGTATAAATAATTGATATAATGAAGCTGTGGGAATGTTGTATCGTTAACAACATTGCCATGAAACTTAGCAAGTAAGTGACATGCTTATTGTAACGGCAATGTGTTATATTGCTTGCCACGGTACGGACCATCTAATGACATGTCATGCCACAAACAATGATGATAAGCAGAAACGATTCTCCTCACAACATGCCATTTACACTAATAAATGTAAACTGTTTCTAATGACTTTGTGTATAAGTATAATTTCAATTAGAATGTTCTTCTACTTAATAGAAAACTGAGTCGTCAGCAGGGGATTGTTGGAAACGACGTTGTTGTTGCATGTGGAGATGGTTGTACTGACTATTGTGATAAGGAAGGTAATGCATTTTTTGTAACAAACAAAAGAACGGCGATTAGAACTCAAGGGACAAAAATATAACATTGATAGAAAATCGTGATACTTCCCGTGTCTGTACTGTTAGCGCAGGAAAATTATCGCGATTTAATTATATTGGCAGTGAACTTCTAAACAATAATGAAACTCGTAATAATTCCGGTCGCATCGAATGAATGGCAATTGTTATTAGTTCATTTCCAAGAGAGCGCGCGGTGCAGGCGCGTCTCACCAGATTCAACCACTGGATGTCATCTCGGACGCCGGACGTAGCTAATTACGATAATTCCGCAGTACCACCAACAACACACAACTGTCTCACTACATAGGTACCTACTGCACAAGTTAATAGCATTCATTGTTATCTTATTACAGTTATCATTATACGGACAGGTTCATGTCAAGATCTTATCGCTCATACACCTTTCTTTCTTCCTCATTCCTTTCCTTTCATTTACTATTTTCTACTATTCGCGTTTATATTAAAGTGTTTCTGGGAGTAGCAGGTATATAGTAGTAGGATCTGTAGCCCTCTTTATATCTTACATACACCAAAGAAACAACAATCTTTGAACATAAACGACCAACAGTATGTACCTAATAGTTGCTAACTCTATACTTACATAAGTCGTATTTAGATACGTTCATATTAGTAGAGTTATCACATTTCTGCATAAATAGTAGCATTAAATATTCCTACTAGTATATGATTACTTTCTCAACACACACTGAGTCAGCATGGCGTACTAAAGGTAGTAATTTTAATCGATGTAAGTCGGGCGCGGTGCACCACGACTGGATCAATTGCATTTGTCTCGGCCTGTATGCGGAACGAGGCGATTTTCCTCACTCCGTAATAAAACAATCAATCTATTGTACAATCAGAAAGTCAATACAAATATTATTGATGGAAACTTTGTCTATTTTTATCTATTTACTAGTAACAGGGCACTCTGCGGTCGCGTTATTATTTATACAAGTAGTATTTACGAGCACAGTATTTGTCTACCGGTAGACTGTTATGTTTTCTTAGAACTTGCCACTGCGCTTTGACAACATCGTTTCAATTAATACAAAAACACAGCAAACAGTTAAAAAAGTAATGTTTGTGTTAAAATTACCCAAATCAAGTCACGTTTGTACTCACGGGGCACTCTCGCGTTACACTAATTGTTATTGTACAAGTACTGACCATAAACCTATTGATACTGTGATGAAAACCAAACCCAATACCTTTGTTAGTTTGGAATGTACTGTAGAGATTGTACTTACATTCAGAAAACGGTATGTACCTACGTAATGGAACTAAGAATACATTTCCATTTATTTTCCACATTCTACCTTAATAGTGTGTTCGAAGCATAATGTCGCAAAAATAAGACTATTAATAGTTTATTGGTCTACTTAGTTAAGGTGCCGGTCAGTGACGGATGACGGACGGCCGCGTCGTACAGTCCAGGAAGGAAGTAGGAAGGAAGCTACGGAAGCTAACTCTACTATTACGAATATCGAATTATAATGATCCCTCTAACATGGGTCACTGAGAGGTCGCCATGTTGTGCACGACCCGCTAAAATAACAAACACTTCCGCTAAGACCTACCTCAAATAGAAAGTATCATCGAACTCAGAGGCCTCAACCAAAATCGATGACAATCGATGACCTCGTGACTATTGGTGACAATGAGAAGCCATCAGTCAAGTTTACTAACTACCGCACTCATAGACAACAAATAAGTGATGACTTAAACTATTCCTTAGCACCGATTTAGTTCCGAAAACAATTGAGCACTGGGCGACCATTAAATGAGTCTGAGTACGGCCGTAAGGTCTCATTATCCCATTGATGTTAATTACATCTGATACTGATTCATGTTAACTGTTTACTTATAAACTTGAAACGAAGCTATCAGTCAGATTGGGGGAATCACAGCATACATATAGTGGGACAACAATATTCAACAAAAACTAAAAATATTGCAACATAAAAAGTTACGTATTTGATTTGATTTGCGTATTTGTGAAACATAAAAAGTGTTCACCTGCCAATTTTCCGTGATACACCGCATTGTGACGTCATTATGATTTTGATGACGAGAAAGATGATGCCTAGTAGAGTTTTCTAATAAGTACCTAGGTACACAATTTATTAAGAAAATAACTTTCCTCGTAAAGTGTTACGTCGGGATACACGAGTATGGTAATTCTAAAGTTCTTAGTAGGTACTAATGTCACTATAGATACTACAGATAATACAGACATGTTATATGTATGTTGTGTCAAAATTGGTATTTAAAAGTCGTCATTTAGCGGGAGCTTGTTGAGCCATAACGCTCTGGCAGTGACCTAGTTAACATAAAGAAAGAGAAGTTACGTGCGCACAGCGGCGCCGGCGCAGGTGACACCACATCAATACTGAGGAGCGGGTCGGTAACTTTTTCTTTCCTTTGTTGACAATCGTGAATGGACGTAACATAAACAAAACAAATTACATATGTTATGTGTCGATGTACCCATCGGTGTCTATTTAAATGTTAATTTAACATCTAATCTCTAGCATATAACCATTTTCGTTTTACTACCATGTAAATTTTAATTGTTTAGAATAAAAATATAGCCATATTTATCATAAATATCATACTAAATCTAAATATAAACTTGAATTCCTTCGCAAAATTTATGTTAAGTGCTTATCTTGTAAAGATCAAGGGAATTAAATTAAATCAGTTTGAATTTAAATAGTTAAACATAGTGTAAAAGGACGACCGTTCTAAAGTTAGTATAGGTTGCTACATCCATCGAGACAGGCATATCTTGCGACATATTGATACAGGCCCAGCCCATACTTTGTTTGGATCTCACTCCCACAGTCATTGTCAGGGTCCCAAACATAGATATGTGAACATTGTGAAGATTTCTTAGTGTTTAGTGAAATGTTGCAACCACTAAATTATTCTAAATTAAATACTTTAGCGTCATGTACTGTAACGTAAGTTAACAGACGACGACAACAAGAGAAATTTTAAACAGAGCTACGCGAACTCTGTCGGTACTGGTTTTTACGAGAACGAGCTTTTTGAGTTTGCCCCTAAGTCATACTTGTGAAAGGAACTTTTAATAATTACGTGTATTATAGTGCCTAATATTCATTAACAATAACATGTCAATGTTTTTACATTGCATTTACACGGACATAATATTTTTAACTTAAATTGGAATTTAAGATTATTTATACAGATTATGTAAAATTTCGGAAGAATAAATGAGTAGAGCGTAGACTAATTTTATCAAAACATATGGAGTGTGATGTGCCAGGGTCGGCAGCCTGGTGTGGTGACCTGGTGTGGTGACCTGGCCAGGTGTGAGTGTGTGGAGTACCTGTATGGCACGTCTGCCGCCAGGAACACGTAGTTGGTGGCGTAGAGCGCGGCCACGAACACTGTGAGCGCCAGCAGCACGTAGTTCCCGAGGTGGAACCGCCGCGCCTGCCCCAGTTCCTTCATCAGCCGCTCCATGTCCACACCCGCGCTGCCCGTGAACTTCTCCTCCGACTTCTCCATCACACCCTCAGGTTTCGACATCACTCACTACTCCGTAAATTATTTAATGTCCAAATATTATCGAATTCACGTAATGTTCCGTGGAGTGCAGCAGTGCGGCGGAGGTAGCGTGCGCGCGCGCCGCTAGTGACACAGTGGGGACATGTGCGTGCGACGGAGCTGGCCGACGAAGATGCGACGGCGCATGTAACTGGCGCAGCTACCGTGCTCGCCTATATAGTTGTACTCGTTGCTATTCCGCCGAAGCCTCCGCGGACGAACTTCCATAGTTCCGCACGCCGCGCCGGCCGGTGGGGTGCGGAACTTTGTCACCAAAATATTTTTCCTTCTACATATTGGCAATGAGTGTATGTGTGACTCGCAATTGATAAAACATTGAACTAGAATCTTCTAACGCATTCAAGTATTGATAAGTTAAGCACAAGCACCCGTGACGTATGTACAGGATGTTCCTGTCAACATAACACACACGCACATGAGATAAATGAGTTTACGATACGATGCAGGGGTACATTCAAGACGTTCATTAAACTCCTTAATACTATATAATTATAATTGTTTACTTTCAAAATTAAGCAATAAATACTACTTTCCTTTGTTTGCAAAAAAATAACGCTTGCGTTGTTTCAAAAAAAGTGAGTGCGGTTACCGGAAGCCCAATTACCCCCCCCCTCCCCCGGTCGTCTTCTCAATCCCCGAATCTCCCAAAATCCTCAAATTCCCAATTCCCAAAAGGCCGGTAACGCACTTGTAACGCCCCTGGTGTTCCATACGTCTGCTAGTTTATTGGTTTATCTTATAAAAAAAAGTTGAGTACTGAGAAGTTGAGAATGAAATGATTATCAGCAGACATCAATTGAACACCATTGTAAAATTGTCATAAACGTAATTGTGCATATAATTTGAAGGTTGTCCTCGGTGTCTCTGGTGTCTCATCATCAGATCCTGACACCAAGCGGTCACCGGTGACCGCAACCTATTGTTCTATAATTGTGTCTATAATGACGATACTCGACGAGTTAAATTAGACTGTAATGTTAAAGTAATCGTATTCAATACGCAAACTATCGTTGAAATGATACCATAGAAGAAAATGCTCAGAAAATAAAAATTACTAAACTATTGAACCAAACTGAAGTAATTTAATGAAATCAAATGGCCAGTAGGTATACCGCATCAAACATAAACACAATCACATTTATAAACCTCGAATCTATCGGATTAAATTTAAAAAAAAAAACAAGAAAATCTCAACCGAATTGCATACATACTTGATGTTGCAAAGTCGATTAATATAAATACAATCCATCATGATCAAAAGGGGTCATGAGAAAGGTAGCTATCACTTTATGCGTTTGTGGAAAACCCAGACGCAAATCCACCGATCGTGTGTACTCGTAAACGATAAGTTAGGTCCCACCTTACCTTAACAAGTTAATATACATGCATAAGTACAGTATAGTGAGCACCTAACAGTATTCGCCAATACTTGTTTAGACTAAATAGGTACATCTTATACGTCAGCACTACAACATGACGTCGCCGTACAGAAAGCCCTTAGAGGTGACGTTAGCATCAGTAATGCTGCACTATCATTAGTTCACTGAACTTCATCTGAAGTACGTACACATTAGGTTTGACACGCATCACGTGTCACGGCGAATGGAGGACACAAACTTATTGTTACACATTCCAGGTCCACCTCATTAAGAAATTGTAAGTGTAATTATGTAGTATCTAAATGAGCGCAATGTGTTCGGTCGGTCAGCTGATATAACTCAATAACTATATTTAATGGACCTATAATCGATTCTTTGCGAGAGCCGTGCAGGAATCTATTACGAAATGCTAGCCGCAGAAATGTAATTAATTTGTTGCAACAATAAACGTGAGCTGTACAACAGGTTTTTGTTATTATTATTTTTAAATAAATGCCAATCATTTAGATAATAGCAATTAATGTATGAGTAATTGTTGCAGACACGGTTGTCCTCGGCGCGCTGCACGCTGTATGCGCTAATAATTATGTTAGCTGCGAATATCACACAGGCTTACATCGTACCGCAGGCATTCCGTGACCGCTGCAGTCAGTGTAACCAATGACCATCTAATTGTATAAGCTCGAACACTTGGAATTTGAAACACTGAAATGTTTATTAGGTACAAGACCTTAGTACGAGCTGTAAGCACTTATCCAGCAATGAACATTTAATTTGGAACGTAACATGTGTCAGGTGATGGCGCCTCATATTGCGGTAGAGGAGAAGTAAAAAATAAATACTTGATGCCTGCCACGTTATATTATAGAGACTATAAATTATACAGACTGCCTCGTTGGCCGACGCTAAGTGCCGGGCAAGGGGTTTCGGGTTCGATTCCCGGGCCGTGCAAACTATTACTAGGTTTTTAAAAAAAAGTAGTAGCACGGAGTCTGGAATTGTGTCCGGTATATGGCAATAGGCTCACCCCCTATTACATGGGACTCGTAATATAAATAGTGAAAAGTGGGTGTTACATTGTACAGTGGCATAATGTGCACCTCTGCCTACCCCTTCGGGGATAAAAGGCGTGATGTTATGTTATATTTTATTAGAATGTGAACGACTTGATTTTTTTCATTCAAAACTTAAACAATACAAATAGTAAAATGTTAAACGCCTAACCGATATGTAAGGGCAATACTCATTCTGTGGTCGACTGGTCGCGAGTGCTCACTCTCCTCCACACTTTATTTACTGCACATAGACCATTATTTATGTGAAACACTTCCTTAGAAACCTTCTTTTATGTTTCGTAAACGTTTAGTTTTATATATACGTTTTTATTTATGTTCTTATCTATGTATTATAGGGTATGTATATTTCCGGAGCTGTGCGATGTTAACGACGCAGTCATTTCAACACCCTGTGGTGGATGGGCGAAGCGAGTATAAAATTCGTATTGTTACCATTTACGACCACTATTATAATCATTCCGTTTAAACAGACGGCTCTCGTACGATCATTGCCACAAAAAACAAACAGCATGTTTTAGGATCACCGGCCGTCGACGATGATGTTGTTACAGTTAACAATGGAGGCTGTGACCTCGCGACACTAACTTGATTTGTTGCGGGAGATGTTTGATCACAAACTCACAAACACACTGGCGTATGCGCATTGTGAGCCACAAGTACTACGACATAACATGATACCGGTTGCTGTCAGTCTAATGACGAACTAAATACGTGATTGTAAGGACTCACGATCTTCTCCCGCGGGTCGCGGTAGCGGAATGGAGGCGGAATTTTCAAAACTCACAAGACCGCAAGTTTTGGCGGCGGGCCCGCAGCCGATGCGGTTGCAATTATCGCCCACAACATTTGCAGTTGATTATCGCAAGACGGGCGGGACGGGCGGTTAAACAATCAGTTAAGTTCTCCGGTCGTCCCATTATAATCGCCCGCCAACCGACAGCAGAGCGCGGCTGCGATACCGCGTCGGCTGCGGGCCGCGGCCGCGGCCGCCGGTGCAGTGGTAACCGCAAAGAATCACAACCGCCGCGAGTGTAAAACGCGCCGTGAAAATTGCTTTGATTTTTTACATACATCTATATATCCTACAAAAGCTGTGGCGGGCGCCGAAGCAAATCGCGCCGTGAGTCCTTAGCCTAACATTCTGATCTCAACCTGGGATAGCGGACAATATAAGTTTTAAACTCTGCCTCATTGAACGACTGGTTGTAAGTACAAGTGCCAGTAAAGAATGTAGAGTTCGATTCCTGAGTCAATCACGTGGATGGAAATATACCCGGTGTATGGCAGTTCTATGCTCGTGCTAATGCCCGTCATCAGTCATGTCAGATTTGACTAACTGCTGTAAATGCATGTGACTGGCTCGAACATGGTGGGCTGTCCCTCTCTCGCTGTGGTCCTCCTCCAATGTGTCGGCAGGCTGTACCGCCACGTGTGCGTCACGTGCTATTAACCATCGACCTACCATTATTGAATGAGAACAACGCACCCGCCAGTACCTGCTGTTACTGACAAAATTTTCAGTGCCTCCAGGCGCATGTGTCACCGCTTCTCAACGAAATTCCAATGTCTATCTAACTATAATCTAACTTTCTGAGCTGCCCTGCAGGCCTTGTCAATTATATGTAGACAACAAGCCACGTTGTCAACAGAACATCAACTTGCACAGGGTTGCTGACTGTGAAGATTACCACCTTTTGTTTCGTTTAGAAACCCCCGGCTTCACCTCACCGGCGCCAACCGTGAAGTGTATAAAGTAATCGCCTTGTAGTGAGTGCCACGGCCTGCTATAGTTTCGACAACACAGTTCTGTGTCAAGCACCACTGCGCCGCCGCCGTGAGGGCACGCCACTCAGCACATTAGTGTATTTCGAAACTACCATTGAATGTGTCCCAAGTGGATCGTTTCAATAGATCCAATATGTAACGTACAATGCTACTGTTAGTTTATCTAAATATTTTTTTAAAATAAAATCACAAGGTAAACGTATCAGTCTTGGGACATGAATCTATTGTCCGTGATAACGCAACATATATAATAGCAAGTGTATTTACGTTTATAAGTGAAGGAACGGAACTGCTGCAGTAAGGGCGGCGGACAGGATCACACGCTCACGTCACAGTCAGTAGATAATAGTCAGCACTGAATTATCGAAATAGAAGCACTATTGTCTTTTTATTCTCCTTAATTTTATTTTCTTAGGGAGATTTTGTCCATATAGATACGTCAAGCCCATCGTACCTTATCTAGTTAAATATACTCTATGACCTATGTAAATGAAAGGGAATCATTAACAAGGTATGACATATATCAGAAAAGTTATGTCTCTCTCACTAGGTTCACACAATCCCTTTGCAATCTTCGTTTTAGGATTTGCTAAAATGTTTTGAACTAGCCCAACATCTAATTTATTCAACTTATATTTTCTGATGAATGATACCCTTTCATTATTGTTCCTGGCAATCCTGGTACATTCCATTAGCAAATTTGACGTACAACATAACAACAGTGCTTAGTAGACTAAGAACCATTGTATACGTCATATTTTCGTTTTAAACGCAATAAATAATGGTTCGAACCGATTAGGTGACAATACCTGTTTCATAACAAATCGTAAACAAACGCTGTATCCTCAAACGTAACACAACCTCGATTATTGTG